AACAGGTCCTGCCCTCCCTAATCACCACCATACACCCACTCCCTTCGTCACTGGGGCAGAATCACCTAGAATCATATCATTTCAGAACCTGGAGGAGTTCCAGAGGCCATTACGTTTTATATCCTTTCATATTACAGGTGAGGAAAGAGAGCCAGCAAGGCTACGTGACTCACCTAGGTCTCCCAGTTAGTGTGCCCTTCCTTCTATTAATGACAGCGTGAATTATTGATTACCTTTAAAACTTCCTATGATGTCAGTACAAAGTGTGCTTTTTAAAAGAATTACTGAAACACGGTAGTAAATGATGTACATCATCAGAAAAAAAACCCTGCCACTACCATTATCCTCTTTATTCCTAGGACATACTTGAAGTTATTATTGAGAGTATTTTGCAATTGCAATATTCCAGATAAATTCTTTTTCCCGTTGTTAACACTTATTATTAAAACGTTCACTGGATGCCAACATACTGGAAGATTGTACCACAAGTTGTATCCATACAGCCAAATCCAGGTGCAAGGGCAAGTGTACTGGGCTGCTGATTGCATGTGTCCACAGGGTGTGAAACAACCCATTTGGGTCTTTAAAACAAGCAACATCCGTTCACTTGTGTGTACAGACATTGGGTCCCACCAGGTTCATTTGCTAAGACTGACTGGTAACTGCTAAGGTCCGAACAAGCAAACTAAGTCATGTAGCAGCGCTGATGTGCTCTTCCTCAGTGGCATGGAGGCTGCTCTCGGAGCCTTCAGGAGTCAGACAGGTGAGCTTAGTGGGTGAAGAGGATTCCTAAGACAATGGAAAGTAGTGGGAATGTTTCCAACTGGAGAGGACTAGCTGCTCTCCTTTGGGCAGCCACCGCTCGGCTCCAGAGTGTTGACCATGTGAAATGTTGGCTAGCAAAGGCACATCTCTGATTTTCTTTTTTTAAGAAGCCAGAAACCCAGAGTTCTATGTTAAATCTCGTTCTCCACCCCACCCCCCGAAATGTTAGCAACTAATTTAGGTTTTTTTCTGCTCTGTAAGCCAAGCTCTGGCCAAGTCCTACCAGTTTATGAGCCCGAGTACAATTTTCCAGGACAGGCTTTGGGGGAGTAGCCGGGCAGAGGATTGGAACTAGTACTGCGGTTAAGCGTGAGTGGTACCCTGGCTGTACATGCTTGTCATGGTTCACCAGTCCTCGTGGCACTTATGAAAGTAACCTGAAATCAGAAGAATGACACGGCAATTTGTGACCTCATTTTCTGACTTCATAATCATTCCCAGTTCTAGTGACATCCCCTTTGCTTCATGCTTTGCTGACACAATGACCTGCTATATAACAAGGGTATGGGGGAGGGAGGTGGATGGAAGCTCCAATTACTGAAAATATTTGATCATTTTAAGGAACAAATATCAACATGAATGTAGTCATGGGGTTTTCAGACAGACTTCCTTCCAGCCCCCTTTGTATGGCCCTCAATCCGGAATACTGAAGGCTGGTTTCCTGGCCAGTCAGCATTCTGCACAGACCCTTCAGCTCATGGCAGCCAATAGCCACAACACTATCTGTGTGCCACGGCTCTGTTAACTCAGCCTGGTCTTAAAAACTGTAGGGGAAAAATTACAGTAGAAGAGAATTTTTAGCTGGGCTGAGAGTATGCAGTAAGTCAACACAATTCTTGCCCATGTGACTCAGAGTAAAGTCACGTAATTAATTTTAGATGAATCCAAATAGATCTAATAAATTCACCTAGCAGATGCCTATTAAAATTAAGAATGCTCTTAAGGTTTTCCACAAATACTGCAGGTTACAGAGAAGCAGGGTTATAACTTTAGAGTAATGGTGTATTTTACAAAAGCCATGTCTCTTCAGGCTCAGAATAGCAGAAATTTGAGACCATGAGACTGGAAATTCAGGCATAATGGGCTTCTTTTTGAAGTAAATGTTTTTGTGTAGAATCCTCACTGACAGTCTTCCCATTATCTAATTGTCTGGATATCTGCTGAAGTCGAAGTCCTGTTTAGCCTATATACAAGCTCGGTCACAGAGAGGGAAATGGGCAAATGGCTACAGATGCCTAGAAATACGCTGTATGTGGGTAGCGCTGGTGAAAGTCTCCAGGATTACCTGAACAACCTCTTTAACTGAAGCAGCCCAGCTAACTTAAGAGTTTTAAATTTAGGGGCAAGTTCCTGTTTGTTTTTTTGTTCTCCTGGGCTCGAGGCATGTCTGTATGTCTGCACCGCTGTGGACTTAGCGGGGAGACCCAGCCTGCATTCCACAGAATGGGAAATGACAATGTGATTGAATTGGGATCTCTCCACAAAGTAATCATTTCAACAAGAAAATATATTGTCTACATATTTACAAGGGTTAGAGCCCAAAGTTGTGTAGGAGGGAAACAATACATCAAAACCTCAGCCGAAGACAACTGTAAAGTATTCGTGTGGACGGCCCAAGGTACCTCCAGAATGCTTCCTCCCATATGATGTACATGTTAACAACCTGATGATATGATGATAGAAAGACACATAAAACAGCTATTTTTCCTGGCACAGGGCCCTGCTGTAAACCTGGAGATCTTTAAATACCCCACCTCAGCTATGATCCTGGCTGGGTATAAGGATTAAAGGAAGCCACTGGAGTGTAGAAGAGGTTTCTCCTGCAGGCACCTGCCCTGCCTGCCAGTTTCTGGGGATGGCACATGGTTAAGAGAGGAAATGCGAAATTTTAAGATAGGAAACACGATAATTAGGAGATACAGTGAAATAGCTGGGCTCTGTCTCGTTGGTTTGTAGGACATTTGTACAAAGATGAATGTCAATTGTGGAAGACCAGAGATTCATTTGTCACGTCGAGGAGACAAATTAATCTTTAAAAGTATACATTCTATTTCCCAAAGTTTCTAAAGGAATGAGAATCAGCATTCTGAGTCTCCATTACTCTTCCATTACATGCTGCAAACTCTCTGAGGTAATCTCCTTCTGTATTATGCTGTAATACTGCTCTTGAGCCCTTGGTAAATGTTGCCACTTCCCTTGCTCGGGTACTTTCTCATCTAAAATCTAACAGCTGACTGGGATCTGGTTTATGTCTGTCTTACTCCGGTGACTGATTTTTCCTCTTTAGTGTTATGCTGAACAGATGCCATGAGAAGCACACAAGGGGACCTCAGAGCTTCTTCCCTTTGGGTTCAGAGTCTCCAGAATAGGAAGAACTGGCCAATGAATGAATGGATAGTCAATCGCTTTTAACCTGTCTATAAATATATGTTTACGTCTCTTGCTAATGGATTGCCCTTGTGAGCAAGTCATCATTTAAAGTTTAATTTCCGCATCTGAGATGGAGATATGGAATTGCTCAGCCTTTTCTCTCAAACTCTCTCCCTCTTTTTCAAGATAAAGCAAATTAATTAATGTGTACTTTTCAACTGAAGAAATGATTAAGCCCCAGCTGTGTCTGTGAAATCATAAGTTGCGATGCAACACTTGGGACTTGTTAATGCTTTTTTTGGCATGAAAAAGAGAGACATAGGTATCTAATATTAAGTGGTGTTCTAAAAAGCGTAAGTTAGCAGTTTGTTTGCCAAATTAACTTTCAAAGACATCTAAGTTACTAAGTTTGACTTTTCTACACACAAATCTTAAATGATTGATGGACTCCTGTAAAATAGCTTTGTTCAAAAAAGATCATCTTTGGCAGGCTACTTCAAAGGCTTTATCACTCTGGAAAGATGAAAAGATATCCCCATTTTACATTATTTCCCTTATAGATCAACACTTCCTTGAAATATGCCCAAAAATTATGCAATACTTACTGTATTATGAGCCTTCTTTCACTGTATCCAGCGGCCCCACATGGGATTGCTTTTATTTCTAAGACTTAGGAGAATTTTCTACACATAAAGAGCATCTTTAAGAAAATACAGCTGGGCAGAATGGTATATCTGGCATTTTTATTTACTACTGCTTCATTGCAAGGCAGTATTTCAGACTAAAATGTACAGAGATACCATTTTTAAAATCAACAATACCATTTCAGGCGGCCTGAAATGGCTGAGTGGGTTAAGCATCTGCCTTAGACTCCGGTCATGATCCTGGGGTCCTGGGATGGAGCTGTCAGGCTCCCTGCTCCGTGGGGAGTCTGTTTGTCCTTCTCTACTGCCCCTCTCTCCCTGCTTGTTCTCCCTCTCTCTCTCTCTTAAATAAATAAGTAAAATCTTAAAAAATACTGTTTCAGGATGTGGTTTCAGAGTCTCCCAATGGTATTCTTTAGTCTAAAAGGATCCATTTCTTTCTTTTTTAAACATAGCTTGTGTGATTTTATTTATGTCTAAGGTCATTCTAGAATTACTGTAGAATGATGTAAACCAAGGGTGAACATTTCAACTAAGGGGTCAAGCAGATAACAGAAATTAGCCAACAGGGCCTGTTATGGGGGGGCGGGTATCCGTGCATGCACACATGTGCATGTGTGTTGGGGGTCCAGGGCGATGCCCGAAGGGAATAGTCATTTAGGTCCACCTGTCAGATATCCTGATTTTTATTAGAAACCTCCTAATTTTTCCAGTATGGGCAACAAATTTGTGAAAAGATCTGGAGTTGGCCAAATGAAACAGGTCTGGGGGATGGCATGCTGCCCTAAACTTGCTGAGAAGAAAAGTACTTACATTAAAAAGAAAAAAAAATGCTTTCTCAGTTGTCCACACTTTTTGAAATGCAGTTTTGTAATTGTGAAATAGCCACCTATAAAGGCTTTAAAATAGTTCAGGACAAAGGAACTAAGACGGCTCTGGGTCATGTGTTCAGATGTGCGGGGAAGGAGGGTGCAGGGGTTAATGGATACAGGTTTCTATGTAAAACACAATAATCCGAGAATTCACAATGGAAAAGATACAAGGCAGAGGCCCCCTTTCTCCTAAATTTATCTGCAAGGCTATTTCATTTTATGGAGGTGAATAAAGCTGACTTGCAAAAAAAAAAAAAAAAAAAAAAGTTCCTTCTTTGCTCTTTGGCAGGGTGAAGTAGAGAAATAAAGTCTCCCCGCTGAACTACTATGAGGTCAGAAGCCTTGCTGCTATATTTCACACTGCTACACTTTGCTGGGGCTGGTTTCCCAGAAGATTCTGAGCCAATCAGTATTTCGCATGGCAACTGTAAGTATCCACAATCTTACTGTCATTCTCTCCCTCTGTGGGCATTTCAGGCTGCATCAACCAGCCAAACACCAAAATCTTTCTGAAATTTAATAAAATAGGAGACTTGTTAGTAGATGACAAAGATGTCTCATCAAATTGGTGACATGGCTGTTCCATAACTTCGTTAAGTACTGTTGTGGCGACACGTGTATGAACCCGTGTGTGAGGATTTGAAACGTTCCTCAGTACCTCTGATGAAGCCTCAGGCCATCCTCCATCGTGCCTGAAAGCCAGCTGTGGGAGAGCATCATTACCATCTGGGTATTGCTCGGAGCACACATTTTTGTGTGTGGTTAATGCATGGGCATTTCTTCAAGATGAGAACAGGAAAGAAGACCACTGTTTTGGAGTACTTAGGGACAAAAATGAACTTTTCCTTCAGACTTACAAGTTCTATCATTGTTGGACTCTGAATTCACAGTGGACCTGTTTCAACTATTTATAACTTTCTTTTGGTCTCCACTTTATCATGAAGAGTAGAAAGCCACGTGATTAAGAGGACAGTTGACTATGTAAGAGAAGTCCTACCTGTAGGTGGGATCGGACAGCCAATGTACTACTTCATTTCTTTCCCTCCAAAAGCCAAACTATTTTATCACAGCAAGAGGTGAAGAAAAGGGATCCCTTTTACCCAAATATCCATTTTCCCAGTAGCTATCCCAAAACAAACACTGAACAAACCCTGGGGAAAATCTTTAGCATTTATAGGGGACACTAAGGAGATCTATCAATGCCTGGCTTTTGCTGGACAGTCTTTGAAAAGGGAAATAATTTTACACGAAGGTGAACTGGCTAAGACTTGGCATAGAAAACAATAAGCAAACAAAAGTCAGGGCGTGAGTCAGGACCACATTATGTAGTTTGAAATCATTGAAGTGGTGGACCACCTGACTCAAGCTACCAAATCTCGATACACATTTATCAATCCCCATTTGGGACACGGAATCTATCTCTGGTGCCCCTGTAAAGAAGATCCCCTTGCCCAAAAAAATATGCTGCTGAAAATGAAATGTCAATGGATCCTCAAATCCTTGACAGTAGAGACATGAATTGTTTTAGCATGCTCCTTGATGAATGGGTAAAGCACGAGATAGACCCATACCGAGCTTGACAGTGAGTAAAATATACCAAGGCTCTCTGATAGGCACTATGAGTAATGCTCAGATACCACAGGGGATTCTAGTGTAGGGGTCTGAGTATAAATCTGTGAATGGTTTTCCAGTCATTATTTACACCCCACCCCCACCCCCCAAAAAACATTTTTAAATGTGACTCATCCTTCTTTCCTTCTGAGTTTCCTTGGAGGATTGCCAGTGCTCTGGAGATTGTATGTTTAAAGGCAGAGAGATTTTTGAGATGTAGGTATTTATAAAGGTCATGTGTTATTATAAATTGCCCACTCTTAGCTAAAGAGAAGTGTAGGAATGCAGAAATATGTTCATGACTCTCCCAAGTCAGGGGATATTCCAGATCACCCGACTGGCTACACTCAGTGTGACCCCGTCCCATTAAAGCCCCGACTTGTGTGAGATTAGCCAATTGCTCAACTCAAGAGTGAACTTCCCACAGTTCCTAGAATGCCAACCAAGCTAGCGGAGCTGCCTTCAATAGTAGATTATTCCAAATGGACGCCTGTGGAGACTGTATTTTTCTTCTGGCTCCTGGACGAGGGTTCTCGCCTCCAGACCACATTGCCTTTGTGGTGATTGATGGGAAAGCTGCTTTGAAATAGTTTTGTCCGGAGACAAGATCTTTGGCAGGCTGCCTCTCAGGCTTAGCACTCTAAAGAAGATGAAAAGAAAACTGGAAGAAAAGAGCACCTTCATGTAAAGGGTTCACTTGCAAGTTTAACCCCCCAAAAGAGGGACAAGTCAGAAATTGTGACACTGAGAAACAGAAGTCCAGGCTTATTATCACTGGAAATGAGACTGTAACTTGATCGTCCTCAAAGAGCACCCGTCTATCACAGGCTTTCCTAAAATAACAGACTCGTTGGAAATGGAAAGTGGTGGCATGGGCCGACTTAAGTATGGTTTTGTTTTGTGGCTGTGCCCCCCCTCCCCGCCTCTCCTCTCCCTGCCCTGTCAATTCTTGGCTTGATTTCCTTTCCCTCTCTTGCCCCATCTCTTCTTTTCACAGATACAAAACAGTATCCGGTGTTTGTGGGCCACAAGCCAGGACGGAACACCACACAGAGGCACAGACTGGACATCCAGATGATTATGATCATGAACAGAACCCTCTACATTGCTGCTAGGTGAGTGGCCTTTCCCTCACATCTGCCCTCAGAGTATCCGAAGGCCCCAAGATCTGAATGTGCTCGTGATGCATCAGTTTGAAGATCATGACATTACGAAACAATGTGTTATTTAATTTAAAGGCTACTTTAGTTTGTCCAGCAATCATGCTTTCAAGACTTTGTGTCTGTTTAACTTTAGGTGGATTTGGATGGAAGTATTTGCCTATTTTGGAGCTTAGACTCAAATAATCCACTGTCTGTCTTGACCATATATGCAAATATCTACTCACGAAACCAGTAGAGTACTTCTCTCCTTGATACTTGTTAAATTAACTTGAATGTGTAAACATGTATTATACAGTGTGTGTGTAGGTGTATATTAAGCCTGTTCGTAACTTCGTAGTGAATATATAGTATATGCCATTACTGTAATAGAATGACGGTGGCACTGATTTTAGAAGAGTGTTTGATTTGGATCTAGTAAGAAAATGCTCATCCACTGTGTAATGTCATTTAAGCAGACCATGTCTTAAGGCTGAGTGGCTTGGCAAGAATATAGCCTAAACACGGCTCACAGGGATTTAGGCTTTTGTCTTAATTCTATTCTTAAGTAACCTGGACCACAACTTCTCTGGCCATGTGTCCTCTCTCAAATGAGACATTAGATTACTTTAAGAAGTCCCTTGGGATTCTAACACTATATGATCCCCAGTTTTGGAGGTGCATAGTTCATTCCACAAAATTCTGAATGGAAAAGCAACAAGGAATACTATCTTGTGGGATTCCACTGCGATCTTAACCTGGGTCTAGACTGATTAATCACTTAACATGGAAGAAGAAATAAAGATTTACGTCTGTGATACTTGTATGGCTCTGAGCATGGAAAAGAAACAGGTAAATAACAACGGTGCTTCATTCTTCTAAAGCGCTTAGGTGTTCCCAAATGACAAGCTATGCAACATAAACCACAAACCACTGGCCACATTACAGCATCCTGCAAGTACCCCATAGATGTCCCAGCGAGCAATGCCAAGGCACTTTTCAGCAATTTACTTCAATACGTATATGGTGCATATCTGGTTGTATGTGCTATGTAAATTGTGTTATGTAAGTTCTTTAGAAATGTTAATTCATTCAATCCTGGAAAAGAGCCCTAGTTCAGTGAAGGAACATGCCTTACAGGAAGAAGCCAAGGTACACAGAGGTGAAATGCTTGGACCAGAAATGACAAGGGTAGGATTTGAAGTGGGGTAGCCTTGCTCTAGAAACTGGGTATCTACTCCTGGTATGAGGCAGCCTACTGAGGAGGACAGGTGGTACTGTCTGTCCTGGCAGTAACCTTCTACCAGGCTTTGCCTGAAAGCATAGCCAGTGTGGTTATTCATCAGCAAGCGTTGCAGTGAGGTCCTCAGGAGGTGGAGGACCTCCTGAGGACCTCATTGCAAAGAGGTATCTTACATTGAAAGAGTATCAGCTTAGCTCCTTCTTAAGTATCACTTTTAGATTCCTAAATGTAGTAGGGCTGGAAGATTACACTTCTAGTCAATTAATCTATAGGCTGGTCAAAACAAATGATTAAACACTGAATCTGTAAGAAATAGGTTGAGTCAAGAATCTTCTAGTAATGATTCACTCTGCAATGGAGTCTCTAGGGGGAAAAATAGTAAGATGGGCTGCCCTGGCTCCTGATGATTTAGTGTGGGTGCAGGCTGCAGGTCCAGGGCCGTGCCTGCCTTAGGAGCAACATGCTGTGCAAACTTAAAAGTGACCGTTATTCCAGCTCATTAAAACTAAGACAGCGTTACCCTAACCCCCCACCCCCTCGAGATGAGAAATGTAAAGGGCCAAAGGAGAGACGCACATTCATTTTTTAAAAACTATAAAACAGACTTGCCTCTCCTTAAAGGTCAAAATCTGCAACACCCTTGGGCTAACACGTTGGTTTTCACTCTGCACCCAAGCTGCCTGCCTTCAGCATGCACCCTTGGGAAAATTGTTGAAGAAGGAGTTTCCTGGCCACCAGGTTTAGGACCTCTCCTCTCCCTTCAGTTCCCAACCCTGCCCAGAGAGATCCTGGTTCCTGGGCAGCAAGTGACAGATGGAAAGTTAAATCCTTCCCCCAGGCTCAAGCCTCGGTGACACAATTCAGTTTTGCTCACTGGAGGGGGGAAGAGGAAGTCCTTGGATTAAGTCAGTTTGTGTTCAAATAACTTAATTCAGTTAGGGCAGCTTATGAATCCTGGGATGTACAGGCGGCAGTTGGGAATAACCCTCTACCCTAGTCTTCTTAGGTTTAGCATAAAGCATGGTTTCTGTTTGCTGGGCAGTGTGATCTCTTGGTTACTGAAAAAAGATTGCAGTGGTCCAAAAGATTTCATTCACAGAATTCTATTTTTAAAATAGACTGCCCGGTTCTTCCAATTGGTGTCAGTAATCGGAAGCCAAGCCCCATCCAGAACCCAGAGATTGAGTGAGCCTTGAAGGCAGGAACCCCTTTAAAATTCTGCTTTATTACTATCCATTTTGAAAATTCTGGTTTCCTTTGTTTGTTTAATCTCTAAACCGCTAATTAACATAAACAGGTCATGCCAGGAGGGGGCAATCCGAGAGCTTTCTGAGGAATTGCCAGTGCATATTAATCAGCTGTTAATTTACAATTCATATATTCAGCTCTTACTTAAAGTTTTCAGGGGAGGCAGGACAAGGAAAAACCTAGAGTCATATCAAACCTGATACCAAAGTAATAGGCAATTCCATCCCAATAATGAGCCTGACCCGCAGCACCACCAATAAAGTCGAACAAGTAATAAACGAATGCAATAAAACTGCCTTGAAATTAAAGGGCAGGGTGATTCTGGCACTCTACTGAGGTTCCAAAAACTTCCCAATTCAGCAATTTACAAAACACAGGCTCCCCATTCTCCCCATCACCACCCTCACACACACACTCACACTCACACACTCAACCGCTCAACCACTCACAGTTGCAAGGAAATGTCTAAGCAAACTGCCTTGCCCCCAACTTTTATTTTCATATGACAAAGCCTGTTTTTATTTCTGTTTTTCTCTGTTGTACTTTTCCTAAAAGCAGTAGCAGACAGATTTCCAAAGGAGGCGGGGGAGGGGGAATTAAAGTGACTCCTGATGGCAGATCATTCCTTTCTTTTTTCTTTCCCCCTCCCTCCACTTTTTCTTAAGTAATGAGGGAGTTTGAAAGTCTACATGGGAACCTTGAGGTCCTCCTGGCTTAAAGCTGTGGGTAATTTTGCAGCCCCAGGACTTCCTTCGTTTTAGAAAAAGTCAATGTTATTTCAAGGGAAAATGAGCTGTTTTGCTTTCCCTCACAAGCCCCCCATCTACCCAGTTCAGTGAGTTCTTTTCTTTCCTTTCTTCTGAATTCCAGACAAAAACGCCCTTGTACTCAGCTCACACAGAAGGGGATGTTTAAATATAGCCCCACACCTGAGCTGCTGATTCTGTTTCTTCCCTTCCAAGGGGAGATTGGCAGCAAATCGTAAAGACAACCAAATTCTCCACAAAACAGGAAGGTGAACAGAGCAAGAAATGCAAACTTTTAGCTCAAGGACATTTTAGACCTTAATTGACCATCACTGTGTGAAGAAAACAGTGCTTTTTGGAAATAATTTCACCTTTATCATCTTCCATCTTGTCAATCAAATCATTGAAGCTTAGGTTGGAAATATGTTTTTTACAGGGAGAAACAGCCAGAGACGAGCTCTTCTGTTAGCCCCCATGAAGAACAATGTGGTTTGTTGAATAGCAAGTTTTTGGTACCTGGATTTGAAGATAATGAAGGGGCATGGGAAACCCACCTGGGTTCTGGTTTTTGGGTCAATTTAACTTTGCAAGTCCTCTCTCCTGAGCTACACACATACAGTGATTACAGTTCTGGTAGGAGGGAGATGACAGCAAAGAGTTTCCGTAAAAGGTGCCCCTTTCAGCAAGATGCCACAATTTATCAGAAGTAGCAGGGTGTGATCGAGAGGCACCTCTTGAAGGCTGAACTATTCCCTTTTTCTTGCATGTGGATGTCTTGTTTTCTAGTAACATGGATATGGATTTATCCACCTCGAATGAGATACGTACTCATTCAGGAGAAAATTAACTGTCTTGACTCCTGTGTTTGACACTGTATCAATTTCTCATTGTTCACAGGGACCATATTTATACTGTTGATATGGACACCTCACACACAGAAGAAATTTATTGTAGCAAAGTAAGTGGTTTTAAAACCATCTTTCTAAAATAAAGGGTTTTAGGATAGTTCTTGAAGGGAATATGTATCTTAAATGCACTGCTTGAGACGATGTGGCTAATAATTTGGAACTTTTTTTTTTTTTTTTTGCAATCCTACTAATTTGGGGTGAATTCATGCTTGGAAACAGTTATCTACTTTGTAGTTTATTCACCAAATACGTGTGCATATATAGTCTGGAGTTTTAGGTCATTTTCAAATTCCTTTAATAAAATACTACCATGTTTGTCCAGGAAAATATCAGTTTTCATATGTAAAATTTTGCCCCACAAATGTTTCAATGTTACATTTCCATGTCTTGCAGTATTAAGTTTGATTTGACTGTTGTGGCTCAGGAATCTGATCATTATCCACTTCAGACAGGCATAAAATATAACCTAAGCTTCCCCTCTAACTCCACATGGAGATATTTTAGTTAATAAAATCTGCCATAGAAGTAAATGATCGCTTCAGTCCATGAATTTACGTGGAGTGTAACCTGAATTAAATCTTTGTCCACCCAAAGTGAATGTCCCCTTTATGTTTAAGTAAATGACTTCCATATTTTAAGGAAAAGGCATGCTTTATGAAAAGTGATTTATCAACTGAAAGGAAAGGGCAAGGACATGTATTTTATCAAAATGAGCGTCCTTTAGCAAGCTGATTTGGATATTTTATGAGAAATTTCCACACTGTTGTTTGTTGTTCTTTCCTTTCTCCTTCCTCTTCATCTCAAGGAGAAGATCGTTCTATAGTTTAATGAATAGATAGGAGTTCAAAATTAAATGAAAGGTTCCCATCTCCGATCTTTTGTCGTTACGGTGAATTAATCATGGAGAAAGGGTGCGGAAAGCTTTCAATAAATATATGTTCAGCCTCCGCCTCCCCAAGGGAACTCTTACTTCTAAAAATCAAATGCAACAACCTCTGGGCTCTAATTGATTTCTTTCTTGATCCCTGCAGAAACTGACATGGAAATCTAGACAGGCTGATGTAGACACGTGCAGAATGAAGGGAAAACATAAGGTAGGCAATTTTCATTTCTCCTGCAGCTGCCACTTTGGGTTAAGTTCTTGACTGTTATCTCCGGCCGTAGACCGTGATGTGGAATGGTTCGCGCTAGTCCCTTCTCCCCCAGTAATTGCTTTTTCCATCAACTTATTGAAGGCTTTAATTTGCAAAAACTGTTTGCTTTTAATGTGATGAGATATTACGACAGCTGCGAGGGCTGCATCATGAACTACTTAGGGGCGCTAGGGACTGTGGTCACAAAGCTGGCTGCCCCAACTCTTTGGAGTGCACTCTCCAGTAGCCCACTGCACCGACCAGCGTCCTCCGGGAGGCTCAAGAATTGCTCAGAACAAAGCTGCCGCAGACATCCAGGGGTCTGTGCCTTTAGTCCCAGAACAACATACAAACACACTTCAGCCAGGAGCCTCGCACATCAAGGGACCCTGGGACATCTGGCATTAAAATTAATATGATGGGAGGTTGGCATTTCCAGGCTTGCCTTCCTTTTGTGACATAAATGCACACTCATCTCTCTCTGCCAGGTGTTTAGTTACTGTTAAAAAAGCCATAGTTGTCAACATCCTCTTTTGGTAAGCATCAGGAGAAACTCGAATTTTTAACAGGGGAACTCCACAGCCACCTTCCTTTAACCTTACTATGGGCAGATCTTGGTACCTGGTGAAGAATGGGTTTCTGTATTGGATGGATACAAGAGAGTTTGCATTATTTTTCAGGATGAGTGTCACAACTTCATTAAAGTTCTTCTGAAGAAAAACGAGGATACTTTGTTTGTCTGTGGAACTAATGCCTTCAACCCTTCCTGCAGAAACTATAAGGTAAATGTGGTTTTGTCTGTTAGAGCCACACGGGCCGGAGGTAGTCCATAATTTACTGTGATTATACCTGCAGCAGCCTAAGAGGGGTAATTCAACACCATCTGGGTTCCTCTCACTCCTTGGACTTAATGTCCTGCTCCACATGACTGATCTTGAGCAGGCTCCTGAGCTTCCTGTGTGTGCAGGATTGATTGACACATCTCTAAGGAGCCTACCCAGCAAAGTTAGTTTGTCTAAGACCCTATTCTTCATTGTTCGGAGCACCAACAGACTTTTCCACGTATACCACGTGGATTTCCTGTCTCTCCCTTTCTCTTTCTCTTTCTCCCTCCCACCCCACCGTCTCCTCTCGGAGCCCAAAACCACACTTATGTAGTAAATGATTCCTATTTTAAGAGATATCTCAAAAGCATGCCCTTGGAAACTGCAGACTTTCTTCTAGGTTAAGATTTCTAAGGACACAGACCTGTAATTCCATTGAGCACTCTGCTCACTCGACAGCGGCCTTACCTACTGTGGCTTTTATGCAGGGGGTAAAAAATTAAGTCTCCGAGCATTAACAAATCAAGTTAGTTCTGAGCAGCGGGTAGAGGTATTACTGAAGCAGCAGAAGCAGAGGTTGCAATGATCTAAGGTCTTGGCTCCACATCTTTTAGCTCCCCTTGCCCCTTCTTTCCACCACTGTCCTTCTTTCAGCAAACATGGCCAGGCACTGAGGCTGTGAGGACAAATAGGAGGCCTCCATCCTTAGGGAAGCCAGACAGGGAGAAGAAAACTAATGCCATGGGGTTGCTGCCATGGTAACATAATGCAGAGCATGATGGAAGCGCAACAGAGAGGTACTAATCTTAGCCTGAGATGAGGACTCAGAGGAAGCTTCTAGAAGGAGGTAGATGACCCCTCTCTTTAAATGCTCCCTCCTGCTGTTCTTATATATCGACCATGAACACCCCCGGTCTGGAGGACAGACACTTTCAAGCCTTGTGAGTACAGGGACCATGTCTGTGGCCATCCACAACCCAACCTAGTGCCCCCTGACAGGCACTCTGTGGATTTTTGTGAGGGTGAAGAGTGAATGAGATGCCTGACCTTTGTTTTAAAGAAGTAGAAATTAGCCGAATGAAGAGAGAAGGGCTTTCCAGGTAGAGGAAAGGGTACTACAAAGGCACTGAGTAGGAAACAGTCTGTTCAGTGTGAGAAACCTCCTTTGAGTCTGCAGTGCTGGACTGGGAAGTGACAAAACAAACCAGAGGCTGGAGAGATAGGTGGTCCCAGAGATGAAGGGAAGAGAACGGATTCAAAAGATATTTAAGTGACCCAAACCAGGAGGATTCAATATGTGATGAGCAGCACGGGATAAGGAGAGAGAGGAGTTAAGAATGACTGTTCGGGGCGGGGGGGGGGGGGGGGGAGGCAGCCCGGGTGGCTCAGCGGTTTAGCGCCGCCTTCAGCCCAGGGCATGATCCTGGAGACCCAGGGTTGAGTCCCACATCAGGGCTCCCTGCATGGAGCCTGCTTCTCCCTCTGCCTGTTTCTTTGCCTCTCTCTCTCTCTCTCTCTCATGAATAAATAATAATAAAAAAAAATCTTAGGAAAAGAAGAATGACTGCTCGGCTATCTATTGGGTAGGTGGATGGATGGATGAAGCTGCCACCAGTTTGGAGAGGGAATAAAAGCAGAAGAGCAGTGGGATTGGCTGGGGCAGGCAGTGAGAAGGTGTGGCTTTGGTTCTGGGCCATGATGAGGACGCCCAGCCCTGCGGGTGGCGATGCCCAAGGGATGTGAACAGACACAGCTAACAAGCAGATGGATGGATGAGCCTTGATTGAGGGACAGATGTGGAGAGAAAGACACATTTGGGTTTCACCAGCATCAAGTGAACTCCGAGGGGTGTGAAGAATGAGAAAAGAAATGGTGGGCTGATACCCAAACCAGAGGGCTCACCAACAGTTTTAAAAGCCCCTCAGCCTTAGCACAGACCTCAAGGGGAGGGCCTTGTGGACCCTTCTGCTCCTTTTCCATCTTACACTTGGAAATGGGGACCAGCAGAGCCAGGACTGGGGTGAGCAAAGGAGGCATTCGCCCCAGGTACAAAATGTAAGGGGGCACCAAAACCGTTCAATATCAAGGTAAGTGATATCTTCAGTGCAATATATTTCAAAAATCTAAATTAATGTAAAAAATTCTGTCCTAAAATGGCGAACTTTTTGATACTGGCAGGATCCATTCAGCCTGTAACAGGCAAACATTTACTCTGGCCAAGGGACAGCGTACAGCTGACGTTTTGACTTGAATTCTCCCACTTAATATTCCATCCCCGTTTGTCATTGTTTAGGACTCATTAAGATTAATGCTTTTCACAATTCCCAACCAATTCCCTAGCTGGAAAGCTATCTTTTATGACAAATGACAGGTTTTCTTGGCACTGTGAGACACAGACCCGGAGTGGTCTAGCTCATTCTGCCCACACATGTTCCATTCCCCGGGATGCCTGACCTGTGGCGAGACAATCACCTCTCTCTTGTTCTGGCCACATCTGCTGAGACCTGTTAGGGAGGCTGCGCCTCTCCGAAACCCACGGGATGCTCTCCCGTACTTCCTGTCTCTTGCCCAGCCCTGTGAAAAGTAGGGAGCACTCGGAAAAGTGTTTTTCCAGACTCAGGGCAGCAGGACTTTGTTGATGATATGAAACAAGAATGTATTTGGCTGCAGGAAGAATGGACAGTCTCTCTCTATCTCTCAAGTGCTTTTTCTGAACAGATCAGGACTAGAGGTTGAAAAACAATACAATGACCAGTCCCCCTCTCCCAAAACCCAAGTCTCTTAAGCACAGAAACATCAAGGTGATGATACTAACTTGAAGCAGGAGGGTGATACATTTTCAGAGGTCTCCACCTCTGCACCATGCCCCGATTTATACAGTTTTAAAACAGAAGCAACCTGAATATATTAGGAAGATTATAGCCCCAAATAAGAATTTGGAATGCCACCCACTATAAATCTAAAACCACACCCCACAGTCTTTCTTTCTCTGTTCTCTAAAGCTCTTAAACTTCTGCAAAAAAAGTCAGGCTGATTCTTAATGTAATTATGTGTACTCTATGGTGATTTAATTTCCAGGGGCTGATATTAGGTCTGAGATTGGGCGACTACCACCAGGATTAGTTCTAACTTCATGGAAAGAGGATTTCACCATGTATTGTTTTGTCTCTGGGCTTTTCCAAACTCACCAACCGAAACATTAATACCTCACTGCTTCTTGCCTTTGACTTGCTATAGCTATGGCCACTGCTTTTTTTTTTTTTTTTTCTGTTTTAGAAGTAGGTGCATTTAATAATGTAAATCCTCCATTGTATATGGTCTCCCCATTGCCAGGATTACAGCATGCACTGCTTGGGATAAAAGCATTTCCGCTGCATCACTGTGTACTTGCCAGATCCAGAGACCACAAAGTCTGTCACAGTTTAACAAGATGCCCTTATTGGGGGGGTGGGTGGGGGAATCTTTCATAGAAATGTACTGAGGAGAAGAGAGTACTTTTAAAGGGTGTCCCACCTGAACATCTTTCCCCTAAAAATACTGCTTTGGGGGTTCTCAACTAGTTTGAACAAATAGGATGGGTTTCAATGGGAGCTATCTCAGACCCATTACCGAAGACAGAAGTCCTGGCATATTCCTGCAACAGTTCCTGGGGGTTGAGGGCAAAAAGCACAATGAGTGGACAATACTGCCAGCCGCTCCAAAAGCACCTCACTCCTCCCACCCAGCAGACTCCAAACACCTTGACTTAAGGCGCCCTGACTTCCAGTGCCCAAGGCCTTTCAGCGGATCCTTCCTCTGCACCAGTGCCGTCTTGGGCTCCCCTCCTTCCAGTTTGGTATCTGTAGTCAAAGCAGGCAACTGCCAGATGTAAACAAGATAGCCCCGAGCAACAAAAAGAAGAACGAACCACAGAGAGTTATAAAAACATTAATGCCCTGGAGTAGATAATTTTACAGGCTCTGTGGTACTGAGCTGTAAATGCTAAGGAGATGCCCTGGTGTAAGGAAGACGACCACATGGTACAAGGTGGAAACTTTGGGGGGTGGGGGAGTGACAGAGGAGGGTCTGTGCCACCAGGTCGTGCAAAAGGCTAAGCATCATCCTGCTCCTACTGCTGCCATCTCCTCGGATCTTGGGCTTCTGTACTGGATCCTTCGTATCTAGTGGAGCAGAATATAGAAAGAGAGCAAGAGTGAAGGACACTGGAAGGTTTTTAGAGACCAGACCTAGACGAGGCACACAGCCTTCCACTCACATGCTGTTGGCCAGAGCTCATTCTGTGATTGTACCCAACTCCAAGGGAGGGTGGGAAATGTAGTTTAGTGTGATGTGGAGGAAAGGGAAATAGAATTTGGTGCGCAGCTGAACAACCAGCAAGGCTCTTCCACACCCTCAAATCTCATGAAGCTAGGTGGGTAGCTTGCAGGAGTAAGACAAGCAGGGCGTACATACGTCTTGTGGATAAAGAAGCCTTGGTGCTGGAGTCCACATGCTTCTTTGAAGTAGATGACAGGGTGACCATGACTGAGCTTCTAGTTGGTTGCTGCCACTTGGGTACAAAAGGCATGAGTTGACTTTTCCACTTGCTCGGAAATAAGAAACCAGGTTTCATTTGCAATCTCCTTGTGTTAAAATAGAACTCAGTTTTTCTTTTCTTTTCTCTCCCTCCCTGTCCCCACCCCTGCCCCGCCCTTTCTTTCTTTCCATACTAAGATGGCCAAACAAAACTCACTGACAGACCAGTTATAACCTCCAGCATGCAGGAACAAGGCCTGGGGTGAGCACACAAATGGATGTCAAATGGCAGCCCCACTCCTGACTGCCTTTGACTTGTGTGAGCCCCTCACCTTCTGAACCTCTCCTTCTGATCTACATGATGGGAGGCTGGGACATGTTTCTGAAGTTGGTGCAATAGGGCCACCTAAGTAAGCTCTGCTTGCCTCAATGTTTTTGCATCTCTGCTGATGCCATACTATCCTGCCAGCTAACCAGAGGGAGAATTCCAGTGTCTACTATTGGGATTTAACCCACAAAGGCAGGTTCCTCAGGCAAAACAAAACCAAAGACTGAGATCATTCTCTACAGAGCTCATGACTCAACATTTAATTCAGAGGCAGTGGCAGAGGAAGGGAGGAAGTCTTCCCAATGATTGCCTTAAAATTTCCTTTTCCAAAGACAAGATGCTTATTTCTAGGCCATTCCAAAGGGATAGGCAAATCTATTTACTATAATGGTTAAGAGTGAAGCAAACAGGCCTGAATCTCAGACTCTCCTAGCTATAGAACCTCGGACAAAGGAGCTATTCTCTCCAAAGCTCAGTTTCCCCGTCTGAAACCAATGGATGTATCTCAGAGGGTATTTGAGGATTACCTGCACTACACGTATGAATTACTTCACACACTAAATGCTTTATAAGTATTAATTGCTACGACTACTGTTGGTTGTTATTGTTCCTAATTAAGTCCTATTGTTTCATTTAGATGGATACTCTGGAACCTTTTGGGGATGAATTTAGTGGAATGGCCAGATGCCCTTATGATGCCAAACATGCCAACGTTGCACTGTTTGCAGGTAAACCAGCCGATTTCTCCTCGTTGCATTTGCTCTCTCATGCCCGTTACTGAGAATCTGCTCTGGAGGATTCAGAGTCACACTTGTACTCCGAGTCTCTGGTGAATACTGTAATTAAGAATGCCTTTTCCATTTGAAAGTCACATGGAAATTGTACACTTGCTTCATATAAGGAGTCTCTGCCACGGAACTGGTGCCTGTGTGCCTTAGAAGAGGATACAGCTTCTCACTGAATGCGTGGCATGTCCGTTTAGGCCATGTTGGGTTCGAACAATAGAAGATTCTTCCTTGAACCACCAATGTAGATTGATGATTCAAGGTAGGATTGACTTTAGGGGTCGTGTGATTCAGAGACTCCTCTGTACCATCATCTAGGACAGAGGGCCTCTTCACTTCTCTGCTCTCTTTCAGTTCTCTCTCTAAGAGGGACTGGCTACTCTCATAGATGCAGGGTGCCTGCCAGCTCCAATTAGGGCTACATGTGCTCTTGTCCACGTATAGATGAGGAAAGGGAGGAGACAAAGTAAAGCTGCAGGAAGATCTCTACGTAGTGAGGCCACATGCCTATGAGTTTCTAGCAGACATCTCAATCATCATTTACCTGATTGGGGTGCATGCTTCTCTCTAATGGAAAGATAATACTGGGGGGTGAACCTGATGGGCTTAGGTTGATGTGTACTCCTCATCCCCCCCCCTTCCTTCTTCTGGCAAATAAGCCATCATCTTCAGATTGGGATTCGTGTGTGTGTGTGTGTGTGTGTGTGTGTGTGTGTTTTAATTAAGAATTTATTTAGGAATTCACTGCCAGCTGTGTGGAGGTGGGTGTGGGGAGAAGAGTTGGTGTAATAGTGATTGTTACAGCATGCAATAAAGCAGTTAGCTATAATTTCTATCACAACAGCTAAAAACTGACACATCCCAGCTTGATGAGGAACTTTAGGGCTTTTATTATGAAACAAGATTAGCTCTTTGAACCTTGTTCTCAGGGCCATGCATTTGTGAGCCTGGATCTGCAGTCCCAGATTGGAGAAATGGCTTGAGCCAAGAAGGGTTCCTCAGGTTCTCCCCAGCCCCCGAAGTTAGAGCACAGTATCGTAAAATACAATCTTACAAACCTGCCAGTCAGCATGAGCAGGAGCAAAGCCAATGCTAAGAGGACCTGAGTGCACAACTTCTACTACAGCACCGTCCTGACACTTGAACCCACTGGTGCCATGGAGGATGTGGGCTACAGTGGAAAAGTTTACTGTCAACTAAAGAGAGGACTGTTGCAGCCTGAGGTAGAAAGGGGAGAGAGAGTCTCATAGTATTAGCTCAGGCCACCAACCTTCCAGGAGCTACTCAGAGCAAGCCCTGTGAGACAATACTGTGAATACCTCTCCACCTCCCCCTACAGGGATACTGGAGAGTTTTTCATTGGACTGTTTGAAATCCTACAAAAGCTCAGCCCTTATTAATAGAAGATCCTTGTTGGAGCCAAATGTTTGTCGTATTAACAAGAGTAGCAGAATAGTGCTCTGTTTTATTAAGTGAAAGTTCTGGTGAGATACCCAATGTCATATACAAAACAAAAGGCATAATAGAAAGTGGATGGAAGGAAAACACACAGACACACACACACACACACAGAACCATCCCACTGCCCCCCCACTAGCCGAGCAGCATCACCCCCCAATATTACTAAAGATTGATTCTTTAAGAAAAGCTGTGATTGTAGATATGTGTTTAGCAATAGATAGGTCTGCCATCTGCAGTTCGACCAGTCAACTTTTATTGATATATGGCTGTGAATAATGCAGATATCAAGACAGCTCTAACTTGAACCTCAGCAAGTTTTAGTTATTTTTAGCCCAAAAGCATACATCCAGAACTTTTCATAGATATGTTTGGATAAACTTTTCTAAAAAATTATTATGCTTATCCCACCAGTGGATGGGCTGAAATAGTACTGTAGTGTACATAAGCCAATTTGACATACAACCGTTGGAGGTATGTAACCACTAAAAATGAACCAAGGAAGTATTTTTTATTTTGAACAAAATTACTGTTTCTGTTTCACATACTGCATAGATTTTACTATTCCAAAAGATCCTATTTGATTATTTGTATGCAGGATGTTTATCAATCGAAGAAAACACCCAAAGTGTTAGGGATTAATCTTCAATGTTCTTCATTCTCTTTTGCCTTAAATAGCTCCCAACAGCAGGAATTCTCAAACAAAGGCCAGACTGAACTGTGTCACCCCTTTCCCTTTTCTCCTTGCTTTGGCATTTTGAGTGTCAGAATGTTTTTAGTTTATGACTTTGAAACACTGAAGCAGTTATTTCTTCTTTAAGTACACTGACAGAGCTCAGTGGCTCTCATGACTGATGGAAAGAGAAGAGAAGCAAGTGATTCTCACAATCAAAGCAGCAATTTAGTCAAGTTGTTTTTGTTTTGTTTTGTTTTGTTTTGCCTATGAAACCCCTTTCTCTGACTCTCCTCACCTGCCCAGGCTAAGGACTCCATCACTTGTGCTCAGAATTTCTGGTGATACAATCAGTTCCTGTCTTTCCCTGTGCTCTCACCTAATGCAGTTTGCCACAGCGTGGTGGCAGTAGCAGTGTACAAGGGGCCTTGGCCTTGAAATTCCAGCCAAGGTCCATCTAATCAAGTGAAGCAAACAGCATTTTTCATTTGCCCAGTTCCCTGAGCTGCCGCTGCTTAGAAATTGCCATGCAATTTAAAAATGAAAAATGTTTCATCTCTCAAGATCCTAATTTAAAATGGTTAGGAATGTGGGCCAAGTATTTTCCCAGTGACTCTTGGATTTTTCCCAGTTGTCCTATCTCATTTGCCTGAAGTAGGAAAGCAATCCGGGGGATGTCTCTATTATTCCCCCACGCCCACTGCCTTGCTCCCACCCTGTTCATCTCTTTTCTTTTTTCTTCTAAGATGGAAAACTATACTCAGCCACAGTGACTGACTTCCTTGCCATCGATGCAGTCATTTACCGGAGTCTTGGAGACAGCCCAACCCTACGGACTGTCAAGCATGATTCCAAGTGGTTGAAAGGTGAACAAACAATTAAGAGAGGGGAGGGGGGTAAGGAGATGTGTATCTTGAGGAAGATTAAGAGTCTGGGCAGACCAGACTATAGTTTCATTTTAGTAATGGCTTCTGACAGACAGGAAGGTAGAAATGGCATCTTTTGCCTCAACTGATTTATTTACCTCCCCCCTTTCACTTCCCATGAGTTTCTGGAGAACTAACACAACTACCGATACCACTACAGCAGAATACACTACATTCATCTTCCCTGCCTGAAGCTCTCGTTCCAGAGCCTGACATGCCAAGAACTGAACATTTCTTTCATGGAGGGGAAGAGGGGACTGGAAGTGGGGGGGAGCAGGAAAAAAGCTATTCACGACCCCATAGGAGTCAGGGTTCACAAGGGGCAGATGCATACCAAACCTTTTCTGTAATACGGTCACTCTGTTGGAGAAAATAAAATTACAGATACATGAAAATTCATTTATTCTTCATTGTTCATTGCAACCACTTCTGAAAGACAGACTGTATAGGCTCGAACTATGGCCTTCTGGAATCATCAGCACTTGCAGGTGTGGTCATTAGAAATGGTTCGTGTCCACCCCATGTCTAACGGACCTACACTTTTAATTAATATCATGTCTCTGGTTGCAACTGATTTGAAGTTCTTTTCACTCTGTGATGTGCCCCCAATTAAAGTGCCGTTTGCCCACAGAACCGTACTTTGTCCAAGCAGTGGATTACGGAGACTACATCTACTTCTTCTTCAGGGAGATAGCAGTGGAGTACAACACCATGGGAAAGGTAAGAGGGGCGGACGTTTCATAACAACAATGGAGCAATGTTGTTATGAATGACCTTGACAGAAGAACTATAAGTCTAGCCACAAGGTCATCATTTTGGGAAGATTCTGCCAAAAACTGGTGGTCATGAGCACTGTGCTGCCTCAGAGCCCTGGGAGCTTTTGCAGAACAATCCTAGACCCCGGGGAACCTCTGACATGTTTCTACTGAAAATGTAATGACAGAGGTTTGTTTGGTTGATTTCATACTGAGTTTCAAGTATCTTGAGATGTGGTTTCCAGATATACTCATTGTTGGTTTTTTTCCTCTCTTTTTAATTCAGTTTTTTTCATGAAAGGAGCATAAATATGCAGTACCTTTGAGCAAACTGAGAGTCTTGATTGTCTTTATTGCAAAAAGCAATACCACAATGCTTAACGGGATGTCCACTTCAGTTATTTTTACCAGAGTGGATCAAGGTCACAAAGTTGGAGGGCACAAATTCATTGTCAGGGTGGCTTGCAGGGTTAGAAGAATTCAGAGTATGAGATTCGGGCCCAGAGGCAGCCAGTGAGGATGGCAGAGATGGCGCATACAAAGTGTGCTTTTGTTTGAGGAAATAAAAAGCTAAGCAGTCTGTATGGAAATGAGTTTATCTGGCTGGGAGCTGATCCCCTGAAGGATTTATGGCTCTGTATTAAATGCCACAGCCTTATCTTTCAAAACATGCTGTTCCAATGAGTCTCCCCCCACCCCCGCCTCTTTTTTTTTTTTTTTTTTGGCTACTAATTTTAGAAACATGAGATTAAATGAAGCACCTTGTTGTTGTATTTCTATTTCTACGAAGATCTCTCAAAGTGAGTGTATTTCATTTTCCCTGTGTGTCTTTCTTCCGCAGGTAGTCTTCCCGAGAGTGGCTCAGGTTTGTAAGAATGACATGGGAGGGTCTCAGAGAGTCCTGGAAAAACAGTGGACGTCCTTCCTAAAGGCTCGCCTGAACTGCTCAGTTCCCGGAGACTCTCATTTTTATTTCAACATCCTCCAGGCGGTCACAGATGTGATTCACATCAATGGCCGTGATGTTGTCCTGGCAACCTTTTCCACACCTTATAACAGGTAACCATGCCCTAGCTGTGCTGACCTCGCTGGGCCTTCCCAGCTTCCTTTGCCCAAGGGATTCTCTCCTAATACACAAGATGTACAACTAATGCAAAAAAACCTGCTGCTAGCTATTTGTGGCTAAAAAGCACTTAACACTGCCATTTCATCAACAAATTAACAATCGGTTTTAAGCATTATTAGATTAGGATTTTAGGGGGATGTAATTAGATAAATTATAACAATATCTCCTATTTATATGCCTGGCGTGTGAACACGTCTCGTGTGTTGTTTCTAAATCTCTCCAGTAATATTGAAAACTGTTGCCCTCTTTTTATACTTAAGAAAACTAAACTCATTTATAGCACCTGGTCCGGCCAGTCAGGAGACGGAAGAGGCACGGTTAGAACTCAAGAATGCTTCTCCTTCCTCGTCAAGGTCATCTGGCGTTCTGTTTGTCTTTTACTATTTCTATGACTGGATCTATAACTTTTGAAGTAAAAACACTGAACATTTATTTAGAGGCTACAGGGTGAAATGTAGGGTTCAGATGGTGCAAGTCCACGGTGCATCCCGCCGGAGGGGCCTGGAGCCACGACCCCCCTACCACCACTGACTCTGGGGGGGCCTGCATGAGGATGTAGAAGTCGTTGAATGCTGTACCCAGAAATACTGAGTGTCAGCCTGTTCATTCCTCTGCTTGTGTTTGTTTGTTTATTTATTTATTTATTTATTTATTTATTTTTGCTTTTTTTTTTTTTTTTTTTTTTTTTGCTTGTGTTTATTTAAACAAAGACTGAGTAACCAAATGACATACTAAAAGTCGTTTCTGGAGCAGCAGAAATGTGTGGAGATTGAAAAATAAGAGGAAGGCAGGCATTAAATTCCCCGGTACTGAGCTCTCCCTAACCTCAGTGTAATTGGACATGGTCATGAAATCTAAAAACATATACTTCATTCTTATTCTTGGGGAGAACTTTGGGTGTTCTATATTCTCTTCCTCTGGCCATACACTGTTTGGGTCTGGATTATACTTTTTATCAAGACTTTTACAAACCCCGTGAGCATCTAGATGACAGGCACCTACATGATGAGAGTGGAAGATACCCGTAGAAAGAAATGCTTAAGATGCAGGGAGAGTCTGAAACAGAACACGGCCAAAGGAGGCACTAACGTTCCTCAGTTATCTGGAGGACAGGAGTCAAGAGCTCTCCACTAAAGATACGTGAAAATATGAATCCATATTGCAACAAGAAGTATTCAGTCCCATCTAAGTGAGCTTTAACCATCCGCAGGGATTTTCAGCCTTGAGAATAGAAAAGATACAAAAATCCAGGCCGTGACTGTTCATACTTTGGAACCCAAGTATCTAGGATTGTTTAAAAAGAATACTGTCTTGGTACATGGGAATGCATGGCTAGAAGAATTTCAGGACACAGTTGTAGTTTGTTTTGGGGAAAGTGGTTTGAGGATGAGTTGCTGTGTAATTACAAGACAGTAGTAGATTCTTGTACGTCACAGATACTCTTTTCTCGTATATTATAGATACTCTTTTCTTAAGAGATCCCTAGGAAGCACCCAATTAGTACATGCTGAGGCAGTCTCAGGAATCTTATTTGTTCAGTAAAATCAGAAAATGATGAAAATGCACATAACCCATTTTCATCTATAAATTAGAGTCCATCTCTGGTTTTACTGGCTCTGGTTTCATCTTTAACACCTCATCCTCTATACATGTGTCTTGAGCTGAGAGCCTATGTTATTTATTGAGCATTTACTGCTGGAGATTAGGGATTCCATAAATATATGCTGAAGGAACAGAAGGTGGGAAGAAAGGATGAATGAAGGAAAGATGAACAGAAGGTGGGAGGGAGTAAAGGAAGGAAGGAAGGAAGGAAGGAAGGAAGGAAGAAGAAAGGATTTCACAAGTGATTCTGACCTTGGGAAGATTATCAAACTCTACAGTGACTTTAGTTATTATGAGGTGCCTCATAAAATACTTTAGTATCTATCCTATTTGTCATAATATTTAAAGCAAATATGCATACCTGTTACTTTTAGGAAAGGGAGATGTGAAGAGAGTCTTTGCTAGGCTCTGAGATTCCAAAACCAACAGGGATCACGGTCTTATCTATTCAATTCCTTGCACAATGTATACATAGTCTACATTTTTGAAAATTCATCCTGCCACCTTGTTTTATTTTTTTTTTTTTTTTTTTTTTTATTTTTTTTTTTTTTTATAATTTCTTTTTTTTTAATTCTTATTTATTTATGATAGGCACACAGTGAGAGAGAGAAAGGCAGAGACACAGGCAGAGGGAGAAGCAGGCTCCATGCACCAGGAGCCCGATGTGGGATTCGATCCTGGGTCTCCAGGATCGCGCCCTGGGCCAAAGGCAAGCGCCAAACCGCTGCGCCACCCAGGGATCCCTGCCACCTTGTTTTAAACGAGCTTTCTAATCCTCTCCCTAATTCTTGCTTTATTAGTAATACTTCACTAACTGTGTTATGAAATTAAAGATGGCATAAAATTCCCCTCATCACTTATGAAGTGATTTCCATATCCTTTCAATGTTTGCAAAATCAATACTAAATCATCTCTCTGCCCTGGACGATGCTGACATGCTGCAAAGTGCCCCTTCCTTCCCCTGGATGCTCCTGCCCATGCAATGGCCCACTACCTCAAAGCCTGGTGAAAACTCTTGGCCAGACAGTGCCCACAGTTTATATGATCAAAATCAAAGAACGACCATACTTAGAAACAAACATGGGTTCTAAGAGTGAACCCAGATGAATGAATAATTCATGCTTTCTCTCCACTGATGAAAATAAAAATCCCAAAGTCCTTCCATGAGTACCAGAGAAGGATGTAATTACAGAGATTACCACTATTATTATTATTTAGCACTTAATAGGGCACTTTATTTACAAAATGTTGGTACTTTAGAGATTTAAGTTGTTTAGTCTGATGCAAATAAATAGGATATAATAATTGAAATGGGCTGTGAGGAACCTAAAACAAGCGTGCTTTTCCCAATGCGTGCACACTCACTTCCGGAGTCCCAGCTGGAGAAACCAAATCCAAGGAAGCAATATAGGAACACTTTTACTTCGAATGTGCACTAGTATTAGAGATGGCAAAATGTTTTCCAAAGATTTTATCTTTGGGTTAGTGACTGAAAATTCAGGGAGTTTATGAACATTCTAAACCACCAATTATAAACAAATGCAGTTCCAAAGGCAACAGAAATACGAAGAGGTCTTTTTATCTATGACTTTGCTATTAAGCAGTCCTTTCTTTAAATCCACTGACGTAGGGACACCTGGGTGGCTCAGTGGTTGGGGGTCTGCCTTTGGCTCAGGGCGTAATCCTGGAGTCCCAGGACCAAGTCCCACATCGGGCTCCCCTCCAGGAACCTGCTTCTCCCTTTGCCTGCATCTCTGCTTCTCTCTGTGTGTGTCTCATGAATAAATAATTAAAATTAAAAATAAATAAATAAAACCACTGATGCAAACGTGAGTCAGAGAAACAGTCACTGGAATATACTAGGATCCCTTACATCTATAGAGATCAGGGTGTGAACTTTAAGTTTCCAATGCCCCTAATAGGAAAGTTGCTTTGGAGCGTGTTTTCCAAGCTGCACACATAGTAACTTCTGTGAGAGTAACACTGTGAAATGTTATGTCCTAGCATCCCTGGATCTGCGGTCTGTGCCTACGACATGCTTGACATTGCCAATGTTTTCACGGGGAGGTTCAAAGAACAGAAGTCTCCAGATTCCACTTGGACACCAGTTCCTGATGAACGAGTGCCCAAGCCCAGGTATGTGTAAATATTTATATGGCTATTCTGAACTGTGAGAAATGAGCAGCTTGGTCCTCTGATGGTAACATATTAAAGAACTGCACACCAGCACCTTCCACGGGGCCACAGAGATACAAATCCTGGAACAACAGAAAGCCCTACGAGGCCATTTGCCTTCATCCCCTTAACCAAAACTCAGAGTTACCTATAGTTATATTCAAAACAATGACACTCTAGTCTTCTACTTACCTCCATCCCAGGGGCTTGGCCAACGTAATCATAGGAAGATGGGAAGCATCTAGTCCAGCCCTGCTGGTGTTTAGTTGAGAAAACAGAGGCCCAGAGAGTGAGAATGTGTATTGTGGAAGTTTGGAGACTTGAATAGATTATTTCCACTGCTCCACCCTGCTTCCCCGTCCCTCATACAGAGACCCATGTCCTTATACCCTAATAAAATGTGAAATATAAATGGTGATCCCTGGATTCTGTAACCAGGATGGATCAGAGCTGGGTCCAGGACTCCAGGGTGGGGGCAGGTAGAGACCAGTGGGCACAGTGAACCATCAAGTTTTCTCTACTCTACCAAATTTTAGTCTGTTGTGGATCCAGACAGGGTCCACATCCTTCTACCAACATGTGCCCCAGAATCGCTTTCATGGGGAACCGGCTGTCCCAGGACAATGCAGAGACCTCTTGGTCCTGTGTGACCTCCATGAAATCTTCACACTAAACCAGCGAATTCATTCTCTTTCAGTGGGACAGAATGAAACTCCCCCCACCGTCCCTGTGCCTGCCCTCCTCCTGTGGCATGCACTGTGTACTCCCACTAGAGCCCTTGCCATTGAAGTGCTATGGAAACCTCCCTGTGGGGCCAGCTTCCTCCACTGCATTTGTGGACTTCTGCAAAGAAGCCCAATATCTTAACTTTTTGGTCTCCAACCTCCTCCTCCAACCCCCAGTCCCCCACACAAAATAGCCCAGTTTGTTTAACTGAATTGACTTCGATAATGTGAACCACTGTATCCGGGTGGGCGGCGGGTCGGGTGGGGGGAGCCTCTATGGTTCATCTGTCTTCATTATCTGAATTATCTGCTGTGTGTATATACTCTGCTACTCACGGAGAGCAGACTAGGTGCAAAAAAGCACACTATGGCAACCTCAGAGAGGGTCTCTACAAGTCACTACCTGGAAATGTTAACTACTTTTTAGAATAGCGGGAAGGGGGGGTTAAGCTTGAGGAAAGGAGTTCAGGGCGTACTTACAGCACATGTCTCCCTTGCTGTGTAAAGACATGTGTCCATCAGCTATCCCCACGACACATACTTTGACTTTCTTTTCTTTTCTTTTTTTTTTTTTTTTACATACTTTGACTTTCTAATAGTTGGAACATGTTTCTCTCCAACCTTCCACATGCTTCCTCATTCCTCTCACCAACATTAGGAGGCTTTCATGGAGCTGGCTTGTTTCATGCCATAGAGTGATGTGTATGTGAGGCCAGACCATGCCAGTGTTAGCAGGGTCCAGTTTACTCTCCTGGACCAGCAGGCAGGGCCGGGGTGTGCACAGGATTGTTGTCGATGTTGCCCTGAGCTGACCTTACTAGACTGTCTCTTGACTCCTGAAACCATAGAACTGTTTGTAGAAATGAATTTCCACTGTCATTGTTCAGAAATAAAGAAATGACCTTTGCGGAGAGACTCTTCAGTGTAATTGGCCTTTCATACCTGCCCAAATCAAAGAAAAACAAAAACAGTAAAAATGAAACCCATCGGTTCTCTGACCCCCAGGTAATAAGAGATGGTTACAGTGAGTCTTGCTGGTATATGGACTGGCTCGTGGCTTTATGAACGCCTTTGTTTTCTGCATTTGTGCAAAAGTTAGCTGCGTTCTCTCCTTTTGCACAGCAAATGCCTCGAGAGACTTCTAGCAGGGTTTGGGGACAGGTAGAGTGGTCTCTGGCACCTGTGCAAAGCACATACTTCGCCACTTATTTTAAGCTCCGTCACTGTTTATGGGTTTTGTTTGTGCTTCTGGGCAGAAGCCAAGCTGCCCCCGACTGAGGCTGAAATGCCCTGGCTGGAGCTTCTTTATGGAATGAGGAGTCGGCCGGGAGAAAAGCTAAGCATATTTTGTTTGGTGGCATTCTGCATTGTTCAACTTCCTCTTCTCAGCCTACGGTATATTTTCCCTCCTGCCAGATGCTTAGGGAAGCAGTTCGTTCAAAGAACTTGCCAGAAGGCATGAAAAAAGCTCCTTCGCTTTGTTTCTTTTTAGGCCAGGTTGCTGTGCTGGCTCCTCGTCCTTAGAAAAATACGCAACCTCCAATGAGTTTCCTGATGATACCCTGAACTTCATCAAAACACACCCACTCATGGATGAGGCTGTGCCTTCTGTCATCAACAGGCCATGGTTCCTCAGGACGATGGTCAGGTGGGTGTCAAGCAAATCACGTCCTAAATGGATTTTTTTCCCCACTCCATCTCAATGCTCACAGAACCTATCAGTGGATCGTGATTTAAAATGGCACAAACATCTTCTGTTATCCTGGGCATTGAGTCAGCTATGAAATGCTGGCCAGTTGGGTGCCTGCCACAAAACCCCCATAACCACATTCCCAGTGAGAAGAGTTCTGATATTTTCAGGCTAATTGGACACATGCCAATAATTAGAGGTAACGAAGATAAGACTCTTCCGGGTTAGAGTCTTCTATAGAAAAGCAGTGAAGGAGAACCAATCGTTGGATTTGGATACCTGTTTGGTTGGATATGGTTGCAGAAACATGTTCCAGATTCCATCCAAGCACACCCCTGGGCTGTTGGTTGTCAAACAAACCAGGGATGAATGCAACATTTGCATAAGTATGCTAGTGTGAAGGATTCATACTGTACCATTTGTAATCTGCTGGGATGGCCAGAAGAGAAGGGATAATTGATTAGACATTTGTGATAGCACTAACTACTCCTTCTTGTATTTATTTAGAGCTTATTTCCAAACAATTCAACGGGATTTCCCAAGTACCCTCCTACTGCAGTAATCATCAAACAAAATGTTATTCAACTTTACCACCATTTTTAAGCGGTGACTTTACTGAAAGATCTTAAAGTACTATAATGGCTCTTACCCCTAAGATGGAAACTGTGGTATATAACTTGTAGGATGGTCCATGTTTTCTGGTTTCTGCCAAGGTGCTTGGCACAGACAAGGCATTCGTGGAGTGGTGAACAGCTGAGAGATACCCGAGAAAGATGATGCCCAATAGAACTTATCGTAGGCATATGACAAGACTGCTGCCCTTCATCTATGGCTCTAAGTGGACCTCGTTTGGCTTGCACATCCTTCTATTTATCAAGAGGCCATCAGCACTCCACCTTCCCATCCTTCGGTACTCTCAGCCCCTCTATATTCACTTGGAAAGCTTTCCAATCTGACATTTTTTTTGACGAGGCTTTGCGCCTCAGAGGAAGAGTACAGAAAACTGGTAGCTGATGCTTTTCTTTTCAATGTTAAGTGAAATATTAAATGAGTTCAGTTAGTATTTCTTCTCCTCTTCCTGGGAGACCTCAGCCTTTCCTTGCTGCTCATGGAAGAGATCATTGCTGAGTGGTTTCAGATGGTTATGTGACTTGGCCTCCACAAATACATACCTCCTTCCTCCCCTTGGAGCCATACTAATGCTCTGCATGTGGAAATGAAGGACCAGAACAGCTTGAGAACATTATCTATATGCATATATTTTTCTTGAAGTTATTACTAGAGAGCTATGTCACAATGTTTGAAGTGGAAAAGGGGACCCTTTAATGACAGACCAACAAAGAGATAAAAACTGTGATCCTGTCATTTTAGATACCGCCTGACCAAAATTGCCGTGGACACTGCTGCTGGGCCATATCAGAATCACACTGTGGTTTTCCTGGGATCAGAGAAGGGAATCATCTTGAAGTTCTTGGCCAGGATAGGAAACAGTGGTTTCCTAAATGACAGCCTTTTCCTGGAGGAGATGAGCGTTTATAATCCAGAAAAGTACGTAGAATATTTGGCTGTTTCTTAGTAATTATTTGTTGTTATGATCCTTTTCATTCAGAGAAAATCTGATGACAGCAGACTTCAGTTTCAGGCATTTTTAGGTGACTTTTAACATTATTTGTAAAAAAAAATTTTAATATATAAAAGGCATTATGTTCTGCTCGACAATAATGTGTGTGCTTATATGGATACACACATGTGGGGGAGTGGAGGACACCTTAGAGGATGTCTCATCTTTAGTGAGATGAGATTAAGCTATCCTCTCATGGGGGATGCCTGGGTGGCTCAGTGGTTGCGCATCTGCCTTAGGCTCAGGTTATGATCCCGGGGTCAGGGGATTGAGTCCCACATCAGGCTCCCCACAGGGAACCTGCTCTCCCATTGCCTATGTCTCTGCCTTTCTCTATGTGTCTCTTATGAATAAATAAATAAAATCTTTTTTTAAAAAAAGAAGCTATCACCTCGTGGGCTGGAAGGCAGGGTGGGAGGAGGTGGCAGGAAAGTGAGAACAGACTCAAGAGAGACTATGAATGCTATTACCCTGCCTTATAAATTAGGTGCAGCTATGATGGAGTAGAGGACAAGAGGATTATGGGCATGCAACTGGACAAAGCAAGCAGCTCTCTGTATGTTGCATTCTCCACCTGCGTGATAAAGCTTCCCCTTGGCCGGTGTGAACGACACGGGAAGTGTAAAAAGTATGTATTTGGCCTCACTGAACATTAGGAAGTCCCCACTGCTTAGAAAGGAGTCCTGGGTAGCTCACTGTCATGCTCTTCCTGCAGAACCTGTATCGCCTCCAGAGACCCATACTGTGGGTGGGTAAAGGAAGCAGGTTCCTGTGCCCATCTGTCACCCAGCAGCAGGTAAGGAGCCTGAGGTGTAAGTGTAAAGTGGCCTTTGGCTGCTATGCATCCTAGACGTATTTAACTGTGCTCTCATACACCACTGCCACCGAGCCTTCTGTGCACAAACCTCATCAATGGAGCTGCCAGCCATTCTCCTTCCTTTTCCCATTTCATAGAACACCCCGACATCGCATGTGGCAGATTTCCAATTGATTAATCATCCATCCCCAGACTGATTAAAAACACAGAGCAAAGAAACACAGTGGGCTTCTAAGTATTCCCTGGAGAGAGGGACAAGAAGGTGCACGCCTTGATCACTACAGTGTAAGAACAGCCGAGAAAAGGGGGCAGTAGGGTACCAATTAGATTAGTGCTGTGGTTTGTCTGGCCATAGCAAAACTGGCTTCTCTAATTGACCATGTAGGGCTGAGGAGAGATCGCAGAGTATTTGTTAAGCACTGCATTTGTACTGCAAGTGTGGTGTATGCATCCAATAAACCATCCTCCTGCACTGAGGAACAGTTGACCCTATTACTCATTAGGGAGTCAATCAATTCTTGGCAGTTCTCCAGCAGATCATAGCTGATCAGATCAGTCTATCATGCCCATGATTTTGGTGCTAAAAATTGTTACCTCAGCTTTTAAATGCTGAGATGACATTAGTTAAAAGGTTCCTTTTCGTTTTTACTTCAGTGGATAGGAAATCCAGTGCACGTCCTTGACAAGCTATGGCAACTCAAGGAAGGTGCCATATGGCAGCACAGTTCCGAGCCATTCCTTCAACATCCCCAGATCCAAGAGGGCAAAGAATCGTCTTGGCATCTCTCTGAGCCTCCTCTCCTATTATAGAATAGCTAGACAGGCAGGAGGGCAAATCTGATGACCACCACATGCATAATTTGAGGGAAAAGTATTCCCACAGACACAGCTCATGACAACTCTAAAGTCTCACCTGGAAATCTGACTAATGCAAAGGGTTGACTCACTATATATTATTATATCAGCTTTACAAGTAGCAATGTTGACATACTAGTGTTAGAGCTTTGCATCTTTTCATGAGAACCCTTGAAGTGAAGGAGTGAGGATCACACATCACATTGACGGAAGCTAAGAAATGACCTGTCTCCTTTCTATAGTCAAGGTGTGACCGAAGGTAATAAGACTGATTTTTAAAAATCATTTTTAAGTCAGGGTGCCTGTTCAGCTCAGTTGGTTAAGTGTCTGCCTTCAGCTCAGGTCATGATCTCAGGGCCCTGGGATCGAGCCCCACATCAGGTTCCAGGAATCTGCTTCTCCCTCTCCCTCTGCACCCCTTACTTGTGATTTCTCTGTAATGCATAAATAAAATATTAAAAAAAATAACTTTTAAGTCAACATGTGAACTCCAGAATTGTTTTCTTAAGGATCCACATATATATTTCATTGCTCCAAACACGTGGCCCTCTCCTTGGAAAATTGCCTTCTGGGCCTGATGGAGGGTGGCTTTTACTACCACTGAAAGCCTTTATCCTTTTTATATAAATTTGATTTTTAACAGAAACAACACTGGAAAACAAACGTGGTGAATTATTAGATCAAGGTGTAACTTTCCAGATAGTTTTCCTAAATGGTCCATAAAATAAAGTCTAAAGGCAATTGCAAAATAAAGTTTTAATGATCCTGTGAGAAGCAGCATGGAGCTCCCCCCAAAAAGGACAGTCCTCTGAATGATTCCAATGCATTTATTTTAAAAATCAACGTAGGTATATTAAGATTGGTCTTGTTAAACAGCCTGTACAGCCCAATGGTAACTAAGTAGACTTGAAAGAAAAGTTAGCATGTAGAGCAGGAGGGCAGTGTGGCAGTCACAGGGCCACAGAGTCTCAGGTGGTCTCAGCACAATGCACCACCATGTCCCAGCCCCTCGAGCATGCTACATGCCCACCAGCCATTTGTTCCTTTGAACACTTTGTTATACAGGTTATTTCTAAGCAAAAAAAACAAAGTCTGGGAAGGCAGTTCTGGGAGTCAAAGGAAAAGTAGAGAGGAAGAGACTTTTTAAAAAAAAAAATTATAGACTTCTATATCAACTTATAAAGAGTTAGGCTAACATCCAAACTTTTTAAATGTTTAAGAAATGCTCAAAGAATCCGTAAAAGAAAGATATAAATAATCCGCAAACTAATTAACTCCCTGAATAATATCGGAATTAACTGCTTAAACCATGGCTTCTCTTCGGAGAGGCACATAAGACTCATTTCTCTAAACTTACGAGAGAAATTTTCCAGCTGTTATCTACTTTTTCTTGCACCTGCCATTTAGTTTATCAAACTGTGTTCATTTCTGTAGTTTAACTTCAGACTCATTCTGGAGTAATGACTTGTGTTATTGAATTTGTTTCTTCCCCCTGCCTTTTTTTTTTTTTTTTTTTTTAAGATTGACATTTGAACAGGACATAGAACGTGGCAATACAGATGGCCTGGGAGACTGTCACAGTAAGTAAAGCTTTGTATCCATGCTCATCTTTGTGCAAGGATCTTTTTATCGGATGGCCTAGAAACATTACCTCACATGTGGAACTAGGTGCAGCTGGCATTAAGACAGGCAGAAGTAACAGAAATATCTTCTAAATATCAAATAAAGAAAACTGTGTTTGAAAGCCAGTGTCGTCAGTGCTGTTGCTATAAATGCTGGCACCTATTTCCTTGTTACAATGCCATGGAACCAATTCACTCTAGAGGATATTAATTATAGCAGAGCAGTACATTAGATCAGCATTTCCATTAAAAAACTGGTTTTGTTGTTTTAAAAAAATGTGTTATTACACCATAATTTTTAGCCAAATAATAAGAAGATTGATTGCTGTACTCTAGCTTTTTAATTGAATGGGAGTGTTTTGTTCTTCTTGAACATATCGACTAATAAAAGTAATTACTTTTAATTAGATTTATGTCTATTACCATTTGCCGTAGAAAAAGATTTCAGGAAGAACCCACTAAGTACAAGATGACTCAAAATAACCCTTTTTATAGAAATTAACCTATTATGCTTACTTTGGAGTTCATTTCAAAGTTATTAAATGATAACATTTTAGTTCTAACTTCATATAAAAGATCCTGGTCAGACATTTGTCCAGTTGTCCTATGATCTGATTAACATGGATATTCTCCTTAAAATGTTTATTAATGCCAATTTAGAGAATAATGCCATTCTTTTGGAAAATATGTAGTTTGAAGTGTTTTAAACATTACATATGATGAATTCCAGGAAGCTTAGACTCAAAGAGGCACGCAAAAAATAGCTCCTAAGGGACTGGAACAGCATTACTCTGATATCTAATTCCATAATGAAAATCATGGATTCGGGAAGCCGGGGTGGCTCAGCGGTTTAGGGCCGCCTTCAGCCCAGGGCCTGATCCTGGAGACCTGGGATTGAGTCCCCCATCGGGCTCCCTGCATAGAGCCTGCTTCTCCCTCTGTCTGTGTCTCTGCCTCTCTCGCACACGCTCTGTGTCCCTCATGAATGAATGAATGAATGAATGAATGAATGAATAATAAATAAATAAATAAATAAATAAACAAATTTATCTATCTTAAAAAAAAAGAAAATCATGGATTAAACTCTCAATCTTTGCCATGAGTACTGAAATTTCAAAATCTAAGGTACCATTCAATTTCCTACCTTCCCTTTTTTTGGAGATCAAATATAATCAGGTAAAGAGGGCAACAGGTAGCCTCATCTCCTACTTCTTCGCTTTCTTTTTTTGTTTGCAAATATTACATATTGGCAAAAGCTTATTAGGGCTTCAAACACAAAATGTATGAGTTAAGAAATCCACAGAGGAGACGGTGTCATAACCAAAAGACCTGTGTTCCTTGTGTGCAGTGAAACAGTTTGATGTTTGATCAGTGGATCTTAAATCATGTTAATCATGTTGGTGCCTTATGGCTCCATTTTCAGAGAAACAAGTTCTGGTGTGTGTGTGCAAACTTAATTAGCTGACTTCAATGAATAATATTCTTCCTATTTTAATGATTTGGAAGCCTGGGCATCTGTAGAAAATAGGGGTGTCAATTGGGACTGAGTAACTAAACACATGAAAAATGTGAAAATGGTTGTTCCTGTCTCTATCACATGTCCACGACACCAGTGGCTTCACACTACATGTGTTTTTGGGCAAAGGAACATAGGCAAGCCTCCGTATCTAACACAGGCCCCAAGCCAGTGAATTACTCTTCAGTCTCAGGGGTCAAGTCTTTGTGCTTTCATGTGTTACCTAACCTTGAACTCCACCCCTGGTGAAGCACTAAGGGCTGGCTTAGGGCAGGAGGGTACAACTGACCCTCTGTTGCCTTTCCTAGTGGCTTTTCTGCTCTCTGTGCTCCCACTGGAGCATGACCTATTTCTGTTAGACATACCTATTCACATAAAAGCATTCAGAGGATTTAGAGAGTTGGTGCACAGTGACTTTTGCACAGGATTTTAAGGGAAAATGAGGAAATTGGCAAGTGTCTGTGTCAAGAGACTGAGGAGCAAGCGGAATGAACCAGTGATCTGACCCAGACACACTGCAGACACACACACACACACACACACACACACACACACACATGTGTATGTGTGTGTGTGTGTGTGTGTGTTGCCTAAATTTGTGTGTGATTGTTTTTATTTTGGTTTTTAATTTCCTAACTAAAACTTCTGCTGAGTTCAGAACACTGTGATACCGGACCGTTCCCCACAGGATGGTTGAGAGGATGAAGTAAAAGAGAATGTAAAGAAAAGTGTTTTCTAAGTGTGGTCCAGGTGTCACTTATTTTACCCATATATACATCCCTCTAGAGAGTAAAGCCTAAATTCCCAGAATCACATATAATTGCAGTTCCCATCCCTTCTACTACCTCTTGCCTTTTCTCTGAATCTTGGCAACAAAAACAGTGACTTTGAGGAAACTTCACTCAGGGAAGAGATAGGAAGGTGTGAAATCGGACCCAATATAAAGCATCTTGTGTTACAAGCAGAAATTAAAAAGCACTTACTTAGTACCGGGGATCATATGTTAGCATAATTCTGTATTAGCTCATTCCTACTTATTATGTAAGTCACACTAAGCAGAGTGTTCAACATTAAGTAACCTTCTCCTCCCTTTTGTCTTCCAGATTCCTTCGTGGCTCTGAATGGTAAGGAAGAAATTACTCATAATTTAAAATCGATGGAAATCTATGTGGGAAACCCTGTTTCACTAATCCTCTTGAGTATTTTCAAACTTTAGGTTTCTTTTTTAATTAATTTTTTTATCCTCATTATTTTTTTTATAGACATTTCAACTCCTCTTCCAGATCATGAAATGTCTTACTACACAGTATATGGTCAGTTTGCGGATTTTTTTTTCTTTTTTTTTTTTTTTTTTTTTTGTAATTTCAAGCCACTCATCCTGTGGTAGTTTATAGTTTTCATCCCTAAACATCATGGACCAGATTCCTTGTTACTTCAGGGTACCAATTCACTAAAATTATTTATCAGTTTCATAATGCTTCAAAAATTACTGCCTGTGAGAAATAATTGACATATGAGGCTGGTTCCTACATTTTTAATCCACATAACATGAAATTCGCCAACCTTAGGGAATTTAGTGAATATATTTAATGAGTTCTTGAGGGAGAAGAAATCGCTCTTGGACATAAGTATATCTAAGATAAAAGAATAGTGCTTAGAAGTAGTAGACCATAGCTCTTAACTGATACAGTACCATTCCCTAAAACGCTGACTTTCAGGGCAATGCCCTCTGCAGGGGAAAAAAATCTATACAGCATACAGATACCAGTTCTCTTGAGGCAAACCCTTCCAACATCACATGGAAATTAGCCATCGAAATTTAAGTTCACAAAGAGTATGAATATTTAGACATATTTGCAGTGAGAGTTCTTCAGAATGTATACAAGGAAGTGTGACGCAGTGGAGATGATGTGCAAACAGGATTTATCCCATTGTTCCTGCCCTGAAATACAGGCACTACATTAAACAAAGCCATAAAGTCCATAAACAGAATATTCTGAGCTCTGGATAAGAAAAGTTGAAATGTAGTTGATTTCAACTGTTCCATTGCTGTTTCTCAGAGTTTCCCTAAATGTTTATAGGGTAAACTATTCATGTGTTATTTTTTAAATATGAAAAACACGTGTGATGGCAGATTTAAGTTTTGTATTGGAATGAGGACTAAGAGTTTCACTGATGCACAAATATTTTATAGCTTTTGTGTTATAAAAATATGTAACAGTGACAATTCCAGGACAGTCTTTAAATGTAGAGAAAGGAAGAGAAAAAAAGGAAAGAAAAGTAAACAAGGCAGGTTTAGGATTCAAAGAAGTAGTTCAAGGTGGCTGCAAATGTGTTTACTAGCTCTACGGAAACGCTTGCTCCCTGTGTCTAATTTGTAGAAATAAAAAGCCTCTTTGGAAGTCCCAAATACTATGCGGGCCCGAGTGAGCTGGGCGGATGTAGGAAACAACTTCTGGCTTCTCCCGACTGTGCCCCTGGTGAAGGGTGGCGATGTAGAGCAGATGAGCCCCCAGAATTCATCCACTTTTAGTCTCATCGATGACGCAAGGCAGATGTCATCTAGCTTAGCTCACCCTTCAGAAGGAGAATCCACTTAGCATCTGCTCTCCTCCACTATCATACTTTGCAATCATTTCCTATAATTGAATAATCTTTACCAGAGACTGAGGAATTCATATCTTAAATCTAATTGAACCTCCCCAGCATTCATCAACTGGACTAAGACCAATTTCAACTCCCAGGTAATTTCTCATATGGAAAGAATAATTAAGCGATGGGATGCTTTTTATGAACACAAATCACCTTCCAATCTGTGGATCTCTCCTATTTCCTTTACAAAGGGAAAGGAAATTATTCATTCCTCCATATTAACATTTTAAGGGATAATGCCTGTTTGCCTTCAGCTCTTGATCAGTGGCTTCTGGGATGAAACTGAAGAGGAGTGAAAATTGTCCTTTCAATTAATGATCCTGTCCGTTTGAGGCTAAGTCTGTCCAGTATGAGGTGCTTAGAGGATTGATCACCAAAATAAGAAATGGTCCAGACACTACTTACAAAAACATAGGAGACTTTCTTTTCACAAACTAGTCCAAGAGATGTTTATTTTGGAGTTAAAAAACCTAGAATAGACTTATTTCACTCAGCAGATATGTGTTGAGTGCCTAATATGCTGCGGGGATTTGGACTACGCACATTGTATTTCTACCATCAAAGGAAAGACCAGATTGAGCATGGATATAGGCTAGGAAGCCAACCACAAAGTCCAAAACGCACCCACTGTTCCTAGCTGTGTCCTTTGCATGTCCTCCTAAAATGTTCAGTGGCTGAGTGCAAGCTCATAGAGAAAGCCTTAAAACTTGAACTGCCTAACTCAGAAAAAGGAATCATTAAAATAAACCATACACTCTCCTTGGTGAAAGTTCTATACCGCAGTAGTTACATCCCAAGAACCCCTTTTTAGTGAATTGGACCCTGTTTCCTCTCTCCCTCCCTCTCTCTCTGTCTCGTATTGATTTAGTGTTTCTTGTTTTATGTCTAATTGGCTACAATCACTGTTAATAGGTAATAGTGGGTTGAAGGGTCTCTAACCTCTGGAATCACAGACTTGTAGATATAGAGAAACGATATGATGCATATTAAAGTTAACTTCTAAAATCTATTTCTTTGCATTTTATAAGAATAGTACATCAGAGGCACCTGGCTGGCTCAGTCAGTACATTGTACGACTCTCAATATCCGGGTCATGAGTTCCAGCCTGACATTGGATGGAAAGGTTGATTACTTAAAAAAAATTAAAAAAAAATAAAAAAAGAATACATCATAAGCTCCAGTGATTAAAACATGACCTTTCATAAGTCATTAACAGACAAAATCATAGGCTCTGAATCTACTGACCTATAATACCATATCCACAAATAAATGCTTATTTTTGCATCTTTGCTTTGGTTAGAAGTGATTTTAAGAAGAGAAATTATTTCCTTGTAACATATTTTAAGGTTGGAGAAATAGTAATAATAATATACCTCTTTGAATTCAAACTGAGGACTACTACTTTATGGTGCTCTTACAAAGCGGTTCTAAAATTTTTGAGAATCAAGTATTGCTTTCTCTGTCTGATTCACCAGTGACACGTGTTGCCTATCCTCAAGCATAAGTTTAAAAGAATACAAACCTCATGCTGCTCAATTTTTTTCTTTAATTTTGAGTACATCAGATGCATGGTTTCTCTAGATTTACATATAGAAAAAGGGGATGTGGTGGGTATTAGACTAACACTTCAGCAATAGGAAGGAGCTGATTTCTCACATTTGTGTAAAGCATTTTCCTACCTAACTACCATCTGGTCCACATTAATTTCCTCTCATAGCCATAGCTTTCCATTACCAATGAGTTTTCCATGTATTTGCAGCATATGGTCCAGGAAATCTTTTGACGGAGAATGTGCCCCTTAGGCATATATTTCCCCTAGATTATCGTATTAAGAAATGTTCTCCCTAAACCATACTTAGAGCATTACCATAAAATTGCCCCTTGAACACAGTTAAATTGAAAGTACTCAAAATGCATATCAATTCAGGTAAAAGAAATTCTTGCTACTTGGAGAAAAGAGTTTTGTTTTGTTTTTTCATTCTCCCCTTTCTAACTCCCTACAAAACAATTTCTAATAGTTTGCTTATGCTGGGTGCTGAATTCTCTGTTAGGCTGACCATATATTGCCTAAGAGCAGTGTAGACTTCAGGAGTAGAAAACAGGGGCTATGATTTAGACCTCGATATAAGCAAAAAAGAAGTCAAAAAATTCTGCATTTCCAAGTCCCGCTTAGTTTTCCTACTCCTGTTCTCTTATCAGTATTATAAGATGAGCTGTGGAACCCAGAAATGAAAGAACAGAAAGTCTAGAATGCAAACATTCTTTAGTTTTAAATCAACATGTTCTTAACAATTGGATATAAACCCAACTATGTGCAACAAAGCCAATGTTTGAAGCTGCGTGGAGGCCAAACAAACTCTACATAGAAAGAGGTTTCTTAAATGTTACCAAAGTTCTGTGGTGGCATTTATGAGTGATGCTTCCACAGAAATCATTATAATTTAAGTGAGCCACTTGGCTCGTTTGCTTTTTCCCATTGTCTTCTTTACATATGTCATCTGTTATGGGCAGTACTGAAGTCTCCTGGAAACCCAACTTCTTATAGTAACTGTGATAAAGAAGAATGCAGTGCATTGTTCATCATAATCTTTCTGGTCACCAGTATTTTATTTATCACATACATGGTGATCACAGCCCAAGGTTTGAGCCACTTCTGAATCTGTCCTACTTTCTACCAGAGGCGCTGATCACATATTCACAGTAGTTGCCTTGATGTCTTTTCAAACATTGTCCAAGAGGTGGCTATAGGTAAGATGGCTTAATAGGCCAAAGATTCTACTTGGAAATCAGGGAGAAGTTAAATTTTATTTCTACCAGAGAAAACAGGTAGTGGGGCTTCTTTAACTCACTGTGACAGTTTCCCTCAAAGCACCTGGTGTGACCTGTACTTAACCCTGTGGAATGATGAAAGGAAAGCTCGGGAATGTGTTCTCAGGAAGTATTCGGAGTTTCTACTGTAACTCCCAACCTGGCCATTCTTTTCTTGTGGTAGGCTGTAGGCCCCTCTGGGTCTCAAAAAGCTATCCCTTTCTAACCTGAATCACATCAGTCTGCATGGCCTCAAGAACAAACTCTCCCAAGAGTGAGTCACGAAACCATGAAACTGACTTTGCAGAAGGCACAGCCATGGCAACAAGGGGCAGTTGAGGCTGTCATTCCAGGGAAGCGGTGCTGTGAGTAGCTCCCTTTAGAAAGCAGTCATCTCTTCTAGAAATGGTCAACCTGTGAAGTTGAGTTGAAGCTGAAAACTAGACACCCCGTCCATGAGAAAGGCTCCAGGAGAAGGGCTCAGGACAGCTGAGCTGTTGCTAACAGGCGAGAAGCTCATCCACTACCATAAACCAGCCCCATCAGTCACAAAGGGTGTCCTCCAGAATGGACACATCTTGCCTTTAGTGGTGCTAGGGGAATGCCAAAGAAGGACACTACTATTTCTTGAGCATGTGCTGTGTGTCAGACACTGCTGAGTACTTTTCACCATTATGTCACTCTATCCTCTCCACACGGGGAGGTAAGTGACATCACCCCCATTTTGTGCACAAGGAAATACAAGGCCCAGAGAGATTAAGTGAATCTCCCAGGCTCACCCAGCAAGCAGCAGAGATACGATCTGGCCCTTCATCCTCTACCTGCAGGCACAGGGAGTCTTCTGCTGAGCCTCAAAACCCAAGCTTGTTATTTCTAGGGCAGTCTCCTTTCAGTCTTACAGCCGGCTTGGGTGTCCACCTCCTGGCCTCCGAGCAAAGGGAATGTGGGGGTCTCCAGCGATGTTTTCCCTAACTGTATTTGTGATGAAAACAGGGCACTCCAGTTCCCTTTTGCCCAGCACCACCACGTCAGATGCGGCGGCTCAAGAGGGGTATGAGTCTAGGGCAGGAATGCTGGACTGGAAGGATCTGCTCGATTCACCTGACAGCACAGACTCTTTGGGGGCGGTGTCTTCCCGTAATCACCAAGACAAGAAGGGTAAGGCCTTGGAAATGCCTCTTCCTCTGGGGGGAGAGGGAGGGAAAAGTGAGGAGGACTGTGTAACTGCTTCCAGCTGAATCGTAGCAGTGTTTAAGGATCCTCCAACACACCCTGATTGAAAGCTTCTCAGAAAAGACTGCCATCCAATCCTCTGTGCGAGGCTTGATCCAAAATTATTCCCCGATCAAGGAGAAACCACACAAAACAAATAACACATCTCTGAGCCTCCTCCATCCAAAAGAGGTGCGGCTTGGCCCAAAGCAGATCCCTCTCCACTCGTCTGAGCTCACTCTGTGAATCTGGGTCCTCTCTTCCCATTCCACAGCGGGGTGGAATGCAGTGCGCTTGGCATGCACACGTAACCCATGGGAAGGCCCGTTTAATGAGTGAATGGAGCAATCGCAGGGCAGAGTCTTTTCTGGCTGGTGGCGTCCCTCACTCACGCATGGTGCTGAATTTGAATAGAGCCGTGGTCCTGCGATGTACTGTAACTGCCCTTTGAGGACAACAGCTAAAACAAAAAATATGTTATTTAATCAAGCAGAATTGCTATGCATTTAAAACGGAAAGGAAGCTGCGCTCAATGAAAGGGACTCTACTGTGAACTGTCCTAAATTCTCCCCTGCTTTCTTTGCTCAACTAGAGACAGGAAATGTCCTCTCTTTTCTCGCCAGTAGCTGCTTCTGGTAACACATCCTACTTTAGTTGCAGCTGCGACCGAAGAGGCCTTTACTTGTCCAGAAAACAGTCTTGTAAATCAGAGACTGAAAAGCCCAGTTATGTTGAGAGCTGTTTCCCCTCATTCAGAATTGTTTACTTCTATATGTTTTCAAGGGTTTCATCCAGGCAGGGGTGTGAGTCTCGAGGGCAGACCAGCCACAGTGACCCCTGGGGGCCAGTCTCTGGTCGTGGCCCCCACACCCCTCACCCCCCACTCAGGGTTTTCTATATACGTAATTTCCATCTTTACTTTGAGAGAATGTTTGCCAGGCAGACGCATGGGCCAGATTTTCACCCTTTTTTGGTGACTCCCCTCCGGAGAGCACCGTACGCTCTGCTGCTCTGTGCGCCAAGCCACGATGCGAAGTGTCGCCCTTTCAACTTGTCCTTGAGCATGTCCCGTCAAAAGTCAATTTGATTTTCCCTCGTGACTTCTCATTCATATTCCCCACCCTGAATCTTAAGAAGAGTGGCTTTTGTCTCCGCAGCCTCCTGAAGGTGGAGGCACTCCCATTCTTTCCATTCCGAGAAAGCACCAGGCTCATCGGTGTTGGGACAGAACTCTCAGGGCAGGCCGCAAGCCCTGCCACGCATGTGCCATTATTTGTTATGTGTGGCTCCAGACCTCAGATGGGTTGTCTTGGCCGAGTTCTCAAGAAGAGATGGCTCCGTAAAATCACTCTGTGTTTGCCCACTGTAACCTTCTGAAAAACCAAACAGCTTTTCCAGTAAAGCATTAGCTATGTCAACCAAATCTCTAGCTGTTGGTTACAATCATTTTCTCTTCACTTCACGGAGACGGGTGGCATGAATCTTTTCCAACCGTTAACTCCCCCAAGGGATGGAGGTTATCAAAGAGTCCAATTAACACTTTGACAGATCATTTGAAAATTCAGCATCGTTCATCCTCTTGGGTCTTATTATGAATATTGACAAAGCTGGAAGCAGTCTACAAATTGTCAAACAATGGTGGCAGAGGTGATTGCATGGGTGTTTAACATGATCACTGTTCTTGTGCTATTAACTCCTTGCCTTGCCCTGTCAAATTCGAGTTTGGTTTTTGGCAATTGATCGTGTATTTGATGGGGCAATGACAATGGGTTGTTACGCCGAAAGTTTTTCAAAAAAAAAAAAAAATGTAGCCTGATGTTCCTTTTACCATGATTTTTATGATTTTAATTTCCATTTTGCTTTGAATTGTTTTCCTGTTTACTGTTCATGATTTATTTTCAACTTCTGTTCTGTTTTGCTAAGCACTGTGTGGTATGACTTGGTGATGGCGTTATTCTGTTGGAAAAGTCTTGTTTCTTTTCTGACTCATTACGATGTCCCCTAACTTAGCCCAATCTGTGATCTCCTCGCTTCTTTTCATTTCCTGATGTGGGTGCCTTAATGATGTCACATCCGTGCGTACAGCATCTCCCGGGATGTGAGAGTTTCGTGGGTTTTGCAAGGGCCTCTGGCGGGTGCTCTTTTCACTGGGTCGATTGTCTCATGGGAATGTGACATTTGTGTGCCCCGGCTTTAGGAGCTAAATATACTCTGGAATTGTTTCTAAAATATCACACATTTCCCCACTAAGCAGAAAATGTGTCCCGCTCACCAGCTAACTGAGGAGGAGTCAAGTGCCCATGCCTTTTTTATTTTGGCTGCTGAATAAAAGGCCAGTGAGCCAAGGAGCCCACAGCTCTGCCCTGCGGATTGGCAGGACACCACTGGGCTGACCCTACTTTTTTCCCACCACGGCCTCCAAACAGCCCTGCATTTCCAGAGTATGTTTGCTTGCCTTTTTCTTTCTTTGCCTCGCTGTGTCTTTCGTCTTTATTTAATCCTGTGCGTCCCTCATATTCTGTCAAAGCACCAATCCTCACCTTGCAATCTAACCCCCTTCTGCTACCATTGTTCTCAGCCTCCCCCTTGCAAAATAATAGACCCAAGCCCTCTGCCCTTCTGTGGAATGTTCCAAGGCTCTTTCCTTCTACACTGTGAGTAGCATTCGGACGCTGTGTGTACATATACAGTCATACTAACAAAGCCTGAGAAGGGGCCTGTAAGGCTCACAGAAGCATTATCACCGAAAATGAAGCAATTTTCTCTCTCAGTAACTGGCCTTGCCCTTCATTACCCTACTGGCCTTGTCTAATGTCTCTTGTCCTTGCTGCTTTTCTTTAAAATTGCCTGATATCTTTCAAGCCCTAGATTCATTAGTAAAAACACAGCCAACCGCTCTGTTTTATCTCTGGGTCCCTAGATGTCTGGAGCCTCCAGAGCCAGCCCTTTAATCATCAAGTTGATAAATTGGATGCAGCCCTGGCTACTTCTTTCTTGGTTTTGCCACATTTAAAAATATATATTATTTATTCATCCTATAACTATTGAGGTGGTAATGAGTAGTTACAAAGAGGCTCTAATTACATATGAATAAGAAAGAAAATCCACTTTATTTTTAGATCTGGCTTGTCTCCCCCCACCTCCCTTCCCACAGCAAAAGAAATAAGAGCTTTCTTTTTTAGCTTAAGCAATACTGAAAATTAATAGCCACTCCTGTGCCTCTTGTTTCTGACCAAAAGTAATAATACCATAAAACCTGATTTCCAAGAAGACTGCAAGATATGTGAGGAAATTAGCCATGTACTGATCTGCCAAGAGAGCTGTGTAGCATAAATATAAAATGTAAATGCTGACCGCTGCTGTTAGGACACAAGAATAAATCAGAACACAAGAAAATCCCCTACTTCAGATTTTATAGAGTCCTTGCGAGCTGTCAGAAAACAGATGAAATAGTCAATATATACAAAGATGTTCTCATTTGATTGGAAATGCCAGCACTGTAGTATGCTTATATATTTTGGGAAATCTTTAAAGTAAGATATTATCAATTACATCTAGTCAAGTGGATATACTCATTACAGACAAGAAAAAGATGTAGAGACAGAATTTAAATTAGAGATCAAATGAATAATTTAAACTAAAACATACAGTAAATGTTGAATATATTTTAATCAATGTACAAGCTATTTGTGTAAGCAATTTTTACTTTGGGAAATAATATTGCAGTAAGATTCATAAGGCCTGTAAAGTATGGTGATGAGTATGTTCTCTGTACTTCATAACAATCCTGAACAGAAGTTTCCAGACGATAGAGTTAATCAATGATTCCTCTAACACTATGTAGCCTACAACAGTAGGGCCTCCCTGTAGGACAGGTGGTTCCTTACGTGACAGAATTTAGACAGCAAGGGATATCACGGCCTTCAAGAATACTGAACCCTGTGCTGCAAGGTCATGCCTTTTTCATTTCTCTTTCCAGTCTTCTTGGTTATGTCGAGGGGCAAGTCTCAGTTTGGTGCTTTATGATTAAGAACTCCCTTCACTTGCTATTATCCCACTCTGACAAGAAGAGACAGGCTTCAGACTGGGGGTTTTGCCATATAGCTGGAACTAGGTGGACATTAATGCTGTTTGCTTTCAGTTATTTTTTTATGGTTACCTTTTTCCCCCATTGATGATAATGACATAAGGTTTCTACTTGAAATGCATTTTAAAGGTAACTTAAATAAAATACTAAGTAAATGCAAATGCAGGAAGTGTTACAAGGGTATAAAATTACTAGGTAAGATGCCTTGGTATCACTAAAACTGTGGTATTGGCAGCTGAATGACTAAAGTTTGGGTTACTTTGGCTTAGAGCAATTATAGGAGTCCAATGAGGATTAAACTACTACCAAAACATCGCTTCTGGCATTTGGAAGAACAAGATTCATAACTGCCACGCTCCTGTTGGCTGGGCTCTGAGGGTTGCAATGAGATGACCTAGTGCTCTTCTGATATCTCCTCCCACTGGTGAGCTTTGTGACTGGGGATGAGAAGTTTGATCAAGTGGGAGTTTAGAGAAAAATGGATTTAGACTAGAGGGAAACTACTCATTCTAGTCTTGTTAAGCATCTGGTGAGGTTTTTCTCCAGACCAGCAGTGAGGACCCAAGTATACCTGTAGCCCTATTATTTCCCAGGCTGTGGCCTAGGCAGGTGTTCCGTCAGCATTCCTGCTACCTGTCTACTTTTCCATTTCCGAACGGACTCGTGATAACAGTGTGTTCCCCTGACCTGGCGGTAACCTGCACTTGACCCTTTTTGCCCTTTGCTCTCATTCAAACTCTACCTATTTTGAGTCTCAAACCCTCAGAACCAGGCTTAACTCATTAACAAGCTGAGAAACCCAATTTTAGGTGAGCACTGTAGATCAGGGAGCCTGGCTCCGATTGCTCTAGCATTTTTA